AATTGGGCCCCTATGGGAATAGCAGTCTCCCTTTCTAACACTCACAGCCAATTACATTACTCTCCTGCATGTACGCTGACCATCTCACTTGTCCAATTATGATTCTGTGACTTACTTGTAATTAGTGTTAGCACTTTTCACTTTCAAAGTGCTTTGCAAAGTATTGGAATACAATTAACCCTCTTTGCAACTTCAGGTCAAAGCGTAAACACAGGTCCTAGGCTCCCCCTACATGCACCTGTAAGGTTCTTCATCTCTAGGTCAGCCTGTACTACATACAGACTCTCTCTGTTTACACCAGGTGATATTTAGATCAAGTGCATTCAGGTACTGCTCAGGTACCAATGCCAAAGCTGGGTTTTCAAGGACCCCAAGTGAGTTAGGTACCCAACTCCTCTTGAAATTCACAGGAAGTTGGGTACCTAACTCCCTTGAAAAAGCCCTGGAAGTTAGCTACTAGATTTTACTAAGTATCTCATGATAGTTTTTAAAAGTTTTCTTAAAAATATATGGCACTAAGTGTAAAACTATACAACTTCCTCATTTAAAATGCCATACTTCACGGCAAGGCTTTAAAAAAAAAATCTTCCAACTTATCTTTCTTCTTCATCTTTAAATATACAACTGGTGGGATGCCAGGGTGTCCATAAAAGGTCGCACCAGGTTGTCTGTTGAGAAGTAGAATACCAAGCCAAAGGTAATGGAGATGGGAAGAGCAGGCAAGGCTTTCTTGAACACAGCCAGCAATAAAAGAGTCAGACACAAACCCTACCATAGAAGGGAACAAAGACAAAGGAAGACATTACACATAATAATAGACCCAGAAACGCTTTCATTGTAGGCACCAGATCACATGAATAATATGCTATGCCCTGCATAGGAAAGGGAAGTCTGCCTGGGCGAGAGGGGATAGGGTGTCGTCCCCCACTTCACACACAGTGGCTGCCTATTTTCTAACCCACAGTTTGAGCGGACATGGGATTTCCTCGGCAATCTCGATCACAAGCTCTCTCAGCCAGGATAAGCGAGAGGTAACAAGCGTCCTTGTTAATCTACAACTAACATAGAAAGGGTTAATTTATTTACATATTTCAAATCTTTGCTCGATACAGTTATGTAGCATTTACTGATCAGTTACAGATAAGTTTCCAAGTTATGGTCAGCTACAAACAACAAGCTTCATTTTCCATACAGGGATTAGCACACAGTAGATCTGTTTTTAACACCTTTCCAGCTGCCAAGGTCTATCGAAAAGAACTAAAACCAAAAAAAACCCTGGTTCCTCTCAGATGAATTCTCTCCTTATTCTGGGGTAAACACTACTGGTAGCTGTAAAGCAGGCCAAGGTCTCAGTTTTAATTGGAGCATCTTCAGCAGAGCCAAAAGTTGTAGTTTTGGGAGGCTTTTGAGCGAGAGGGAAGGAGAGAAAAAAAAAGATATCTAAGTACTTTGAAACTATAATACACACATACACCACCAGCATCGCTAAGTGAAGAAAGCTCCAAACCTGCCCACCCACATGGCAGGCTCTTTGGGGGAAGTCCACTCCTATGCAAGGACAATTTCACCTCACTATATAGAGATGGGTGGGGTGAAATTTCCACTGCTTTCCCCAAGTTTGAAACTTCACTTCAGTAACAAGAAGTCGAGCTTAGGGGAAGATTGGTTTTAAATGAAAATTAGTGGAGTGAAGACAGGTAAAGCCCTACTGCAGGGGTCGGCAACCGGCAGCACGCAAGCCGACTTTTACTGGCACGCTGCTGCTAGCTGGGGTCCCGGCCGCCGGCCCCACTCAGCCCGCTGCCAGCCTAGGTGAACGGAACCCCCAGCCAGCAGCAGGCTGAGCAGGGCCGGCGGCTGGGACCCCAGCTGGCAGGAGCCAGCAGACAGACTCCCAGACCGGTACCGGGCTGAGCCACTCAGGTCCGGGGTCTGGCCCTGCTCAGCCCTTCTGCTGGCCTGGGGTACCGGCAGCCAGCCCGGGGTACCGGCAGCCAGCCCAGGGCTCTGCTCCTGGCCTGGGCCCAGTGCTCTGCAGCCCTCATCAAAAATTACACTACAATTAGCTTAAAAACTCGAAAACTTTGTTTGTATATTACAGTAATCGTTATTACTTCATTTGTGTTTTCGATGATTTACCTTCTAAAAAAAAATCTCGCATGTCTTCCACGCCCAGAAAGGGCATCTCGCACCCCCAGGGGGTGCGTGCACCCCAGGTTAAGAACCACTGCACTAAACTGATAAGATCTGCATTTTAATTTAATTTTAAATTAAGCTTCTTAAACATTTTAAAAACCTTGTTTACTTTACATACAACAATAGTTTAGTTATATAATATAGACTCAGAGAGACCTTCTAAAAACGTTAAAATGTATTACTGGCACGCAAAACCTTAAATTAGAGAGTGAATAAATGAAGACTCGGCACACCACTTCTGAAAGGTTGCTGACCTCTGCACTACTGCAAGCCTCAGCAACCCATGCCTCAGGCTGTCACACAAAATCAACTCCTTGCTGTAGAAACACAGCCCAGAATCCAAGCTTTCATTTTGTACTACTTCTTAGCGTATGCGTAACATGCCTCAGGTGGCACGTGACCGGGATACATCGCCGAATTTGATCTGCTGGTTGGATCATTAGCTTCTCCAGCTTAAGCGGGGTACGGACAAGGAGTGAGAGAAAAATATGATTTTAACCATTGTGGTTGTGAAGAAAGTGAAAAGAGAGTAATTGATTCACTGTTTTCTTCCTGACCCACAGGCAGTCTGAAACAATCGCTATGAGGTGGTTTGAACTATCCCATCCATCCCCATGTGGCATTCACTCTGAAACCCCAAGATAAATTTAAATGTTACCATTGTTAGTTACTTCACTACTGATCTTTTTGGCAGAAACATCCAGCTAATGCGATTATCATTACTGTGCTTTTACAGTCTCCAATCAACTCAACATCTTCCCAGGTACCAAAGCACCGAGACTTAACACTCTCAAATGGGTGTACTCTCTTATGCTCCTTTGAGAATTCTACCCCAAAGAGTCCTTCCCCCACCCCCACCAGTCCAGCTGCCAAAACCTCCAGCTTCCCCCAATGATTTCTGTAATGTAGTTCTGTCGCACTGCCAAAAAGTGTGTTAAAAAACTGAGATAAGAGACTGCCACACTGGGATTCCTATACCAATACCAAAGGGCTACAGAAACCAGGGAAACCTTTATTGCAGAATTTAGATCTAGATTGCTTGGGGGCTTCAGCTTGGCTACTTAAAATACTGACATTTATCAAACTAAAATACTTCTTTATCTAAGGCAACTGGAAGTTTAAGGCCCACTACTACAGTCACATGAATCCCCATATCCCTTCCACTTCTGTATGGATAGCACAGGCTCTCTACAGTCTTTGGACAAACATACATTAGGGCTGGCACCAGGCCGCACACCCTCCTCAATGGGTGTGGTTTCTTTCTGCAGGTCTGTACAAGAATGGCTTAGCACTACAACACCACAGACCATTCTGGAGCTGGAAAGTCAGAGAAACAGGACCTTGAAGCAAGCAGATGGAACCAGAACACATCAGAAGTACATTTTAGGGAAAACAGTGCAGTGCAGATAGTCTCATGGGCAGACTCTGGAGAGCACTTGCTGTAGGGAACAGACCAGCCCAGAGGATGGACTAGATGACTAATAGGACTCCCCCTCCCCCATCTGTGAGGTTTGGAAAGCTGTGTTTAAAGCTAGGCTCACATGCTCCACTTACATTAGATACACTAGGATTAGTTGGGTCTTTTGCCCACTAAACTTCCATTGCCCAGCACGCACCTTTCATTAGAATGTTGACAGCTTCAAAATCACCACCCTACAGACTCAGCAGTGACAACATTAGAGCATGTAGCAGTGCTCTTCAACACACACGGAGATCTGATTTGCAAGGTGCTGAGCTCCTGGCAGGGCTGGGTTCTAGGACAGCTACAATATGGTAATTTCTTCACAATGAAGAGGACTGTTTCAGAGGAGTTAGCCTCTGGCATTTCTGTTGCTTCCCAGCAAACACTGGAACAGAACACATCTCTGTCTGATAGCCTGAAACTGATGAGGGTTCTTTATCTTGACAAAGCTCATCAACTTGTCAGGGGTTACTAATACAAAAGAAGCACAAACCTCTTCTACCCTCATGAAGCAGCTCCTGTTGTCCAGAGGCAGATTTTTTGAGCCATTCAAGCCCAGAGATCTCAGTACTCACTCTTAAATGTGACAAAAGTCCCTGATCTCTAGCCACTGAAACAAGAACACCAGCAGTTCAATTCTAACTCCTTTTCCCAGACCCTTGTTCTTCTGCCCCATGGTCTCCACCTAGCAGCTGATGTGGATCTTAAGGCTTGTCTACACTACCATTTATAATCCACACCCCTGAGCGATGTAAATTACACCAACCTAAGTAGACAGCGCTATGTTGGCGGAAGAACTTTGGCCGCCAACACAGCTACCACCTCTCACAGAGGTGAAGTAATTAAGTCAACGGGAGAGCTCTCTCCCATAGTCTTAGAGAATCCTCACCAGACACGCTAGAGAGGCACAACTGTGCCGCTGTAGCGCTTTAGTTAGACTAGCCCTTATTTGTTCTTTAAGGACTTTTTTGCCCAAAGGCACAGTCCAGAGTGGATCACATTCTTGTCCCAGAGATATCAGAGTGCCCGTCTATGCTGATCACCTTTACATACAGTACGATGGGTAGAGACGTGTGTGGGTTTCTTCCTATATTACACAGCAGTAGTTTAATATTTAACACTGACCAGTTACTGATACGTCCATCAATGGTACAATGCCATGAAGTACATATAAAAAAAAAGAGAGAGAGAGAGAGAACTTTTACAGTTTTACTTACTATAAGGATGGCTACAAAGCAGGCCAGTGTTGTATTCCAGTCTCCGCTAGCAGTGGCAGCTGCTTTCCCTACAAGCACACTGTAAAATATGAAGTCTCCAAGGCCTAGCTTGACACCCCCTGTTAAAAGTGAAAAATTTTCACATCAGTGCTCCTGTTTCTTTCTGTTTTTCTTGCTTTACGCCCATCCCTTCTCCCTCCTCCAGTGCAACTGGTCAAAGTTTCTACTCTTGACTAACAACTCAGACCACCAGGCTGACAACATTAAAGCGTTCCGTGACACAGTTATTTGCATCCTCCCTGTACAGACAGCCTACTTTTTCACTTCACAGAAGCCAATGGACTTTCCTCTATAGAGGCACAAAACTCCAGGACATTTCCTCTGTCAAAATTACCTTCAGCTGGTTGGAAGATTTCAACTGGAAAGAATTTCCTCTCTTCTCCCACCCTCTGCAAACCTAATCTCCAACCAGCTACAGCGTTACTCTTGTTTGGCCTGTTGGATCCCACACAACATGACACTTTCTCAAGCTCAGTGGGCACCATTAAATCGGAAATATTTGCATGGTAAGGGCTGCTCTACATATAGATTTTGTACCAGTTTAACTATACTGGTTTAGACACAGATATAGTTAAAATGGGTCCAACTCCCTAGCACAGGCAGTTATACTAGGATAAAAAAGTGCTTAAATCAGCATATCTTATGATTACCAGACTTGCAACGCCCTTACACCAATTATAACTAAGGGTATGTCTACGCTACGAAATTAGGTCGAATTTCTAGAAGTCGATTTTTAGAAACCGATTTTATAGTCGATTGCGTGTGTCCCCACTAAGTGCATTAAGTCAACGGAGTGCGTCCACAGTACTGAGGCTAGCATCGGCTTTCGGAGTGTTGCACTGTGGGTAGCTATCCCACAGTTTCCGCTGCCCATTGGAATTCTGGGTTAAGCTCCCAATGCCTGATGGGGCAAAAACATTGTCGCGGGTGATTTTGGGTACGTCATCAGTCGCCCCTCCCTCCGTGAGAGCAATGGTAGACAATCGTTTCATGCCTTTTTTCCGCGCAGGCGCCATACTGCTTTCAGCAGACAGTGCAGTAGGACTGCTAACCATTGTCATCGAACCACCGCTTCCACTGCCACTCTGCTTTCCTGCTCTTGTCTTGATAGTGAATTTCTCCATGTTGTGTCTCATGGGTTGCCGCTTCCGCTGCGACTCTGCTCTCCTGGTGGTCTCACAGGACCACTTCCACTGAAACTCTGCTCGGCTGCTCTTGTCTCGCCATAACACGGCAAGCATGCAGCCCACTTAGCTGTTGTGTCCTGGGAGCAGACGGTGCAGTAGGTCTGCAAACCATCGTCACTGAATGACCACTTCTGCTGCCACTCTGCTCGCCTGCTCACACCATACCACAGCAAGCATGGAGCCCACTCAGATCACTGTGGCAGTTATGAGCATTGTAAACACCTCGTGCATGATCATGCAGCATATGCAGAACCAGAACTTACAAAAGCAGGTGAGGAGGCAATGGCAGCACGGTGAGGAGACCGAGGAGGACATGGACACAGACTTCTCTCAAAGCATAGGCTCCGGCAATTTGGCCATCCTGGTGGCAACGAGGCAGGCTCATGCCATGGAACACCAATTCTGGGCCCGGGAAATAAGCACAGACTGGTGGGACCGCATAGTGTTGTGGGTCTGGGATGATTCCCAGTGGCTGTGAAACTTTCGCATGTGTAAGGGCACTTTCATGGAATTTTGTGACTTGCTTTCCCCAGCCCTGAAGCGCAAGAATACCAAGATGAGAGCAGCCCTCACAGTCCACAAGCGAGTGGCGATAGCCCTCTAGAAGCTTGCAATGCCAGACAGCTACCGGTCAGTCGGGAATCAATTTGGAGTGGACAAATCTACCGTGGGGGTTGCTGTGATCCAAGTACCCACTGCAAATCACTGAGCTGCTGCTATTAAGGGTAGTGACTCTGGGAAATGTGCAGGTTATAGTGGATAGCTTTGCTGCAATGGGATTCCCTAACTGTGGTGGGGCCATAGACTGAACCCATATCCCTATCTTGGGACCGGGCCATTAAGGCAGCCAGTACATAAACCAAAAGGGGTACTTATCAATGGTGCTGCAAGCACTGGTGGATCACAAGGAACGTTTCACCAACATCAACATGGGATGGCCAGGAAAGGCACATGATCCTCGCATCTTCAGGAGCTCTGGTCTGTTTCAAAAGCTGCAGGAAGGGACTTTATTCCCAGACCAGAAAATAACCGCTGGGGATGTTGAAATGCCTATAGTTACCCCTGGGGACCCAGCCTACCCTTTAATGTCATGGCTCATGAAGCCATACATAGGCAGCCTAGACAGTAGTCAGGATCTGTTCAACTATAGGCTGAGCAAGGGCAGAATGGTGGTAGAATGTGCATTTGGACGTTTAAAAGCACGCTGGCACAATTTACTGACTTGCTCAAACCTCAGTGAAACCAATATTCCCATTGTTATTATTGCTTGCTGTGTGCTCCACAATATCTGAGAGAGTAAGGGAGAGACGTTTATGGCAGGGTGGGAAGTTGAGGCAAATAGCCTGGCCCCCGATTACACAAAGCCAGACACCAAGGCTGTTAGAAGAGCACAGCGGGGCATGCTGTGCATCAGAGAAGCTTTGAAAGCCAGTTTCATAGCTGACCAGACTACGGTGTGACAGTTCTGTTTGTTTCTCCTTGATGAAAACCCACCCCCTTGGTTCACTCTACTTCCCTGTAAGCCAACCACCCTTCCCTCCCTCCTTCGATCACAGCTTGCAGAGGCAATAAAGTTATTGTTGTTTCAAATTCATGCAGTCTTTATTAATTCGTCACACAAATAGGGGGATAACTGCCACAGTAGCCTGGGAGGGGTGGGGGAGGAGAGAAGGATAAGGCCACACTGCACTTCAAAACTTATTGAATGCCAGCCTTCTGTTGCTTGGGCAGTCCTCTAGGGTGAAGTGGTTGGGTGCCTGGAGGGGGCCGGCCCCCCTGCGTTCTGGGCATTTAGGTGAGGAGGCTATGGAACTTGGAGGAGGGCAGTTGATTACACAGGGGCTGCAGTGGCGGTCTGTGCCTTTCCTGCACCTCAACCATACACCAGAGCATATCAGTTTGATCCTCCAGTAGCTTCAGCATTGTATCCTGCCTCCTTTCATCATGCTGCCACCACCTTTCCTCTTGATCCCGCCACCTCTCCTCTCGCACGTCCCTCCTGTCCTTGAGTTCATTTTGTGATTTTCTGGACTCTGCCATTGTCTGCCTCCATGCATTCTGCTGGGCTCTTTCAGTTTGGGTGGACTGCATGACCTCAGAGAACATTTCATAGTGAGTGTTTTTTTCACCTTCTTATCCGCCCTAACCTCTGGGACAGAGATGCCAGTCGCAGCGTTGAAACATTTGCAGCTGTGGGAGGAAAAAAAGGGAGATTTCTTTTTTTTTTTCAATTTTAAAGACATTGGCCATTTAAGAGGAGGGGCTGATGTTTTCAGGTTAATGTGCAGCACAAACCCAACTAACCCCCCCCCCCACACACACACACCCCCAATTTGCTGGAATGATCACTTCACCCGTCCCCCCACCACGTGGCTAACAGCAAGGATGATTTATTTTCAGCCACAGGCAAACAGCCCAGCACGAACGGCCACCTCTGAATAAAATTCCTCTTTTTCAACCAGGTGACCATGAATGATATCACTCTCCTGAGGATAACAGAGATAAAGAACGGATGTTGCTTGAATGCCAGCAAACACCGGGACCACATGCTGCCATGCTTTCTTATGCAATGATTCCAGACTATGTGCTACTGGCCTGCCATGGTAAAGTGTCCTACCATGGAGGACGCAATAAGGCTTTGGGAGTACCTCCGGGACAGCTTCACTGAGATGTCCCTGGAGGATTTCCGCCCCGTCCCCACACACGTTAACAGACTTTCCAGTAGCTGTACTGGCCATGAATGCATCCCAAGTTTTCAGGTCAAATTAATCATTAAACACGCTTGCTTTTAAACAGTGTATTATATTTACAAAGGTACACTCACCAGAGCTACCTTCTCCGCCTTCAAGGTCGGGAGCCTGGGTTGGGAGGGTATTGGATCCATGGTGATAAACAGTTCCTGGCTGTTGGGGAGAACGGTTTCTCCGCTTGCCTGGTGTGCGCTATCTTCCTCATCCCCAAAATCCTCATCCCCGTTGCATGAGACTCCCCCCTTGCAGGAGTCCACGTACAGGGGTGGGGCAGTGGTAGGGACACCCCCTAGAATTGCATGCAGCTCATCACAGAAGTGGCATGTCTGGGGCTCTAACCCTGAGTGAGCGTTTGCCTCTTGGGTTCTTTGGTAGGCTTGTCTAAGCTCCTTAAGTTTCATGCGGCACTGCTGCGGGTCTCTGATAGCCTCTGTCCTTCATGCCCTTGGAGATTTTTTCAAATATTTTGGCATTTCGACTTTTGGAACAGAGTTCTGATAGCACGGATTTGTCTCCCCATACAGCGATCAGATCCAGTACCTCCCGTTTGGTACATGCTGGAGCAATTTTGCAATTCTGGGACTCCATGGTCACCTTTGCTGGGGAGATCTGCATAGTCACCTGTGCTGATCAGCTTGCCACACTGGCCAAACAGGAAATGAAATTCAAAAGTTCGCGAGGCTTTTCCTGTCTACCTGGCCAGTGCATCCAAGTTCAGAGTGCTGTCCAGAGCGGTCACAATGCAGCACCGTGGCGTGGCATAGCTCCCGGAGGTCAATACCACCGAATTGTGTCCACACTAACCCAAATCCGACCCTGCGATGTCAATTTCAGCGCTAATCCCCTGGTCGGGGAAGAGTACAGAAATCGATTTTAAGAGCCCATTAAGTCGACAAAAATGGCTTCGTTAGGTGAACGGGTGCAGGGTTAAAATTGAAATAACGCTGCTAACTTCAACCTAAACTCGTAGTGGAGACCAGAGCTAAGGCTGCGTGTCTGTCATGGAGGTCATGGATTACGTGACCTCTGACATCTGCAGCGGCCGGTGCTGTCTAAGGGGCAGCCCCTGGACTAGCAGCAGCAGTTTGGGTGTGTGGGAGGGGGCTCAGGGCTGGGGCAGGGGTGTGTGGCGGCGCTTACCTGGAGGGGGATGAGGGGGGCAGAGGTGTCTCCTCGGCTTCCCCAGCATGTCCCTGCAGCTCCTAGGTGGAGCAGCCAGGGTGGGTGGGTGCTCAGCATGCTGCCCACACCTGCAGGACCCACCCCTGGAGCTCCCATTGGCTGTGGTTCCTGGCCATAGCGCTTGTGGCAGGAGTGGTGCATGGAGCCCCCCAACCACCCCTCCCCCTAGGAGCTACAGGGACGTGCCAGTCAGAACCAGGTAGGGAGCCTGCCAGCCCTCCCACCCCCCGAGCACCCACAGCGCCCCTGGCCCAAGTTTTAGTTAAGGGTACGTAGTAAAAGTCATGGACAGGTCACGGGCAGCAAGGAAAAATTCATGGCCTGTAACCTGTCCATGACTTTTATTAAAAATACCCATGACTAAAATGTAGCCTTAATTATAACTGCATCCACCCTAGGGGCGTTCCCCTGACAACGACAGCCATTTAGAAAACGATATACTTACATCAATTTCTAAACTGATATGATTAAATTGGTACCAAAACAAAAAACCACACAAACAACTGTGTGAAGACCAGCCCTTAGGTATAAGGGCCTCCTGTTCTAAGCATAGTTAGAATAGATATTGCAGCATGAAAATCATTTTGAGTCAGATTCCGATACCCTTCTTACTCACATTCAGTCATTATCTTACTGTTCAGATACTCCCATTCATTTCAATAGAACTACTCAGAGCAAGGTGCTCCCAATGCGAGTAGGAGAATTTGACTCTTACTGTGTATGGCAGGACGCCATTTAAAAGCAAGTTTTCATGACTTGTTTGCCTTACTTTCCTCCTCTTCCAGCTCCTCTAATAAGGAAGTGGTTGGATGGGTTGGAGCTGGACTCCTGGCCTCGGAGATTTCAGACTCCACGTATGCAGGATTGTCATTGATCTCTCTCATGTCTTCAGCTGGGTTCCCCCAAAACACACACCAAACACCACAACAAAGAAGAGACAAAACGAAGGCATCTACATTAACATGTTTTGAGAAACATGAAGTAAGCAGCCTTTATGAAGGGGCTTCTCCATACCAAACCAGGGATGAGTGGGTGAAGTCTCAGTGTACAAACTGTAGTGTTCATTAGGACTGGATTAAATACAGATTCTAAATGGCTTTGTCAAGAGTGCATGCCCCCTACAGTATCATCAGAAATAGTAAAGACGCCATCATACCAGGGCATGATTGGTCAATCTAGTTTAGCTTGGTTTATTCTGAATATAAAAGTGTTCCTGGTTATCGAGCCTTAAGGTCCATTTGTTTTGTTTCCTTTCTTAAAAAAAGGAAACACTGTTTAAGAGAGCTACTACTGGCTTCTGAAGCACAACAGAAGCAGCTATTTTTAGTGATTAAATGGGAAAACCATTTATAGTAAAACCCACTCATGCCCCAAGACTACATCACACATCAGGTTTAGCTCATTCATTTTTAAGATATGTAGTTTGGCTTTAAACTTACAATCTAAAGCAAACTAATTATCCAGCCCCCACTTTGTGAAAAATCCAGTAGTGCCCCAAGCACTTAGATAATTGGGGTTTTACTAGCTGCACTTTAATACATATTAGAAAACACTTTTATAAAAAAGTAATGAAGCCTTAACACCAGACTTCCCTACAGCACTCTGCTAATCTTTATTGACAAGCCAGGTGAGGATATGAGAGAGAAAACAAATCAGTGAGGTTCTACTACAGTCCTGTCTAGCATGCAACAGAAAAACTGCAAAACATGCACAAGCTTATTGCGCCACAGATTTGCAATTTGAAAACCAAAGACACTAACTACAATACATAGTTCTCCGTTAAGAGCAAAACGGACCTGAATCCCATGTCTGCTGAGTAAGGTCCCTTGATGCAGAGTCTGGCTTTGCCATTCCTACTGTCCACACCATAGCAGCTGTAGGGAAAAGAAATAATGTGTAGAAAATTATAGGTCACTGACTGTTCAGAGGAGCTAGACAGTATTTTAGTGGCTCTACTTTTATCCTGAATTTTACACAGCAGGCAAAGAAACTAAACAATCACCCCAGGGAAACACACTCAAAACCCACATCTTGGTTGGCATATTCCTATTCCCTAGTCATTTACTTAGCAAGATAGGAGACAGCATATTACAGGTATCAGTACTCAGACCATAAGTTATTGCATGCAAGGAAGCCATTTTGTTTTCTATGGCTCTCAGAAAGCCAAGGCCCCAGATCCTCATCTCCTTCACTTGATCTGCTAAAGGAAAGAGGTGGCCCAGGAAATGGTGCCACTAAGGGAGGGATAGTGGTAGGTTTTCTGTAACATTCTTTGGTAATGAGAGAATGCTGCAACCCACTTACCTAGGGTGGCAAGAGGTTTTTCTGTTTATTTCTGATTGGCCACCCCTTCCCTCTTGTTTTTCTGTAAGGGGGATGTTGGGAGCCTCCTGGGAGGTAAGTGGGAATACCCAAGGGCAGCCTTGGGGTTTACTTTTGAGATGGTTCACTAAAATAAGGAAGGCAGGGACCTTTTTAAGATCAGAAAAGAAGCAGAAGTTTACTTGAGATGTGCACTAGGGCTCTGGTTTCTTAGAATGCCAAGGCAAATATAAAGACAGATTCCATTTGAGGCTCAGTTGCGGCAAGGAAGCCTCCACGGACTGTGGGCTTACAACGGAAACATGGATGTCAGGCAAAGCTTTTTGTTGAGTTACTGTTTTCTGTGTTTTTTCCTTCTCCAACGGAAGACGTTCTTGATTTATTAGCTGTGCTGAGAGTCCGACTTTATCCAGACCTCTACCCCTGCCTCTCTCACTCCCCCAGCATAACAGAAGCCTTGCTAAAAAAAAGCACAACATCCCAAAGGAGTCCTTTCCAAATCACTCCATGGCAGCAGGATGAACCAGGAAAAGGCTTAATTAAAGAGCAGCTATATTAGCCTATGTCAATTTCCACCTGCCAGACTGATGAACCTCTTTAGATACAGGATGCTCATATATTCAGTGCCAGTCAGATAACTTCTGCAGCAATGTTACTGTGGTACCAGCCATAGCATCACTGCTCTCATAATAAGCCCCCTATCTTAGGGATTTATTAACATAAGCATTTCACTTCCCTTTTAGGGTGGAACCTGGTAAGAGGTTTGTCAGCCCAGGAAATCTGGGTAGGCTAATAAGAGATAAAGAAAATCCCCACACCTGAAGAAAAACCCCTCAGCATGGGTTTAATGTCTTAGTTAAGGTGTGAGACCATTAAACAGCACAGGTCCTAAGCCCTTTGAAGTAACTGTGCCTTTTCTGAAGAATATATTTTAAAAATGGGGGGAGCAGGGGAAATACTGCACCAATAAAAAGTTACCCTCCGCTTCCCCATGAAAGTGGGTAACAACCAACAACAACAAGCTACACTGCACCTGCAATTCTCCCCCTGGAGGGAGGAAGAGAAAGAACCAGCCACGTGACAGATGTTACTTCATGCACTACTGAAAGGTGCTCAGTGTGCTAATGGTAGAGATTTACCTGTACAAGACAGAAAAAGCACAGAGGCTGACTGTAGGAATGCTACAGAGTAATTCTGCTGTCAGGACTGTTGCACACAGGTTTCTTAGGCATGGGTGTGGTCATATCAATGCAACATATATATATATATACACATACACATAAATAAGACTATACCCTTAAAGAAACCAGTTCAGAGATATATGTAGGGATCAACACAGGCATAAATGGGTTTCCTTTGTGTCCAGTGGTCACCTGCTAAAATATTAGTGCAAATCAGATGATTTAAGTTTCTCTCTAGAATTCTGATTCTGTGAAGGAGACATTGGTTCTCATGCATACCACCTTCTAAGGCAGAAGTCTTCTAAGTGGGATTGGTAGCACCACCTATTACAAAGGTTGCCTGACATCTCCCATAACTCCCTGCTTTCAGTTGCTTATAAACGTTACCAAACTTTATGGCTTGAGCTGAATTTTCCACACTGGGCACATGCCTATTGTTGAATTTTGTTTTGGAACGCATCAACCAAAAGACTGTAGCTGTTCGCAAGATGAGGCTAAGAAAAAAAAATGTTATTCACTCATATTAAAAAAAATTAAAAAAAAATCTGGTGACCTTTGAGAGAAGTTCTTGTACCACCGTGCTTTGGAGCATGAACTTCAAATTTAGCAGAGGGTAGCCTGTGTGTTAAGGAGGTGAATTTTGCTGTTCATGTGAACATCTCCCCAATTTTGGCCCAGTTTTAAACTTTTGAAAAAAATCTTGGCTTGCACATGCTCAGTGAAGACTTCTTACAATTTAGCAGCTAAAGTCTCTGAATATTGTGTGCACAGTGGGCATGCTCCAGCGCCTTACAGCATAACCCTCTTGTGCACATACATTATATGGTCTTTAATTGCATAATCACTTTTTACCTGTTGGACCCCTGCTTCGTTCAATGCACAAGATGGACCTGCACCAACGATGAATCAAGGTTTGTGTAGTGGAAGAGCCTGTTGTCAAAGGACCCCTGCTTCATTTGTTGCAGAGTTAGAAGGTGTGTGGTGAATGAGGGAGGGGATTGCAGGAAGAGAAAGGACAGTATCATGGTTCAGGCAGCTGAATGCTGCCCTGTAGAATTGGATTCTATCCATGCCTTTGCCACAGAGTGCCTGCAGCATGCTGGGCAAGTCACTTAAAACCAAGTGACCACCTGTGAAAAGCTAAATGGTGTATTCCTCATTTTCTGCATGCCCAACTTGAGACCCCTACAGTCTGATTTGCAGAAGTGTTGAGCACTCACAACTGCAACTGAAGTCAATGGGATGTGTGCTTTGAACATAGGAATGCTACGTAATGCAAAGTACACAGGTAACCTTTATTTTGACATTTCCTAGATAGGAGTGCTTGACTTTGCAGCTTTAATGTTCTGACATAGCTTGTGTTTAATACCACAATAGGCTGATTTCTATCTTGAAAGATGTTGACTATAACCCACACAACACATATGCCAATGTTATTTAAAGTGATAAAAACTGGTAAATCAGCATTTAAACAACTGGATTTCTAAGGATACGTTTAGACTAAGGTTTGTGGCCACATTGTAGTTTTAGTTAGTTGACCACTAGTTAACTTGAACTACCCAACACCTTTATAAATGCTAGTTTTGAGAGCAAGGAGCTAAGAAAAATGCTGCTCATTGGTACAGTGTGGTTATAAGCTTGGAATGGATATAAATCCAGTTAAAACATTAGCATTCAAACCTAGAAGTGATTACTCACAAGAATATATTAGTGCAGGAAATATAGGTTCATTTCTCTCCTGTGCAGTTTCTACCAGCATTCTCAGTGGCCCTCTGGGACACAGCACAGCGATCAGATCTGTGAAGAGAAAAGGGCCAGAGTCTCCAATCTCAAGCCACATGTTCTGTACATTTCAAATCTAATGGGCAATTTCCACCCCCGCCCCTCATCTCTCTTCAAAATGGCATCTAGAGATATTTCATGCACAACAGTCATGATGTAAAGTTGGTAAGATTAGCATAACACCATCTTATAATTAGTCTCTGCTTGAAGATCCCCTTTGCTGAAATACAGTCTCCCAGTTCAATGTTATAAGATTTTTCAGCGTGCTAACATTATAAGTGGCCTCAAACAGGCCTTCATTTCCTTAAAATGAGACTATAGTGTACTTGAGGTGTACAGGTTCAGATAGTTTTATTCACGTTTCAAGATCCATTGGTTCAAGACCTTTATTATTTTGTCTTTTATATAGTTCATGTCACTTGTACATTTCATTCCTGTGAGCCACCTTAACTCCTTCAAAGCTCCAAACCATTTAGAATGTCACCTGGGGTAAGTTTCCCCCAGTTCTGCAGGTACAGCCACACTTTACTTAATGCCAAAATCTGGGATTTCCCAATAACGAGCTAATGAGTTTTGCATTACTGCCAGGTTACTCCTGGTAAAGCCCACTGCCCACACCAAGGAGTTTCATAAATTCAGTCATTCCTCCTGCATAGGTTCTGCATGTTAGTTAAAGACACATAACAGTCACATCCAAGCCTTACCATAAATTGAAATAGCTCCTAGAATGACCCACGCTGACCATTCGGGTAGATATTTAATGAAAACCAATGCCATCAGCGCACTGATCATAATAAGATAGGCCTGCTGGAGGTGCAAGGGACCCTTCCAGTGGATACAAATCATCCCAACAGCTCCAAAATTCCAGATGACAAAGAACAAGGTGGGGTAATCCATAGCCACATTGTAGGTCTTCAGCACTTCGCTGCAGAACAAAACCAAAAGGTGATTTAGCTAAGCAATATGCAACTGACAAGCAAGACACCTTCATGGCACTAGTCAAACAGTGATACCTCAGGCCTAAGATGAAGCAGGTCAGGTCCTGAATTAAAAAATTCCACTTGCCCAAGAGAAGGGCTGTGAGAGATTGGTAAGATGAGTCTCCCCATTCCCAGCATCAGACTCCTCTACAGTGCCATAGCTGGCCACTCAGAAACTGAAGGCCATGCTGTCAAATGTGGGCTGATGGGTAATCACACGGCCCAGCTGGAAGCAGCAACAGTTCCACAAACTCATTGCTCTCACCCACAGCAGAAGGTGCCATCATTGCTTCCCATCACTAATTGCCCACTTGCCTTGCAGTCAATGGCTGCTTCCAGTTCTCTATAGTTTTATGGCAGTAGGGTGGACACTAGATAGCACACAAGTACTGCCTTGCCTTACACTTTGGGGTAGATAGCGAGACACACCAAAGACTGGATTGCTCACTCAAGCGAGCAAAATTTCCAGACATAGCTGAAAATAAGAATGCAGCAGCGTGGACAGCATTTAGTAAAGATGGCAAACGAGAAATGGCCTGTGCAAGGTACAATTTTCAAGACAAAATATATATATCATTAGCAAGCTAGATGTGAGGTGTGACCCAGCACTGAAGTTAAGGGGAAAGAAAAATTTGCAGAGATGTGGTTAGAGAGTAAAATATGGCACACTGTCAAGTCAGAGTATCCCCCACATCAGAGAAAAAAACACCAAAAAACAAAAAACAACAACCTCTCAGGCCCAGCTCTCAGGTACCACTACTGCACCAAACAGCCCATTTTGAGAGCTCACTATTCAAGTGGCAAACTTCAGTGACAGCACCCTCTCCAAACAGGGAGCCTTCTGGGGGAGGGTACATCAGAACCTCAGCACTTCACACTAATGACTGGAAGACTGTTGTAAATTAGCAAAATAAACCATTTTTAAAAAGCAAAGATAAGGCAACCATAGTTTTTACTAAAAAAAGAAAAAGGAGTACTTGTGGCACCTTAGAAACTAACAAATTTGAGCATAAGCTTTCGTGAGCTACTGTATTTTCCCTGAATGCATCCGATGAAGTGAGCTGTAGCTCACGAAAGCTTATGCTCAAATAAATTGGTTAGTCTCTAAGGTGCTACAAGTACTCCTTTTCTTTTTGCGGATACAGACTAACACAGCTGCTACTGTGAAACCTGTCATAGTTTTTACTGTCCACTGAGGCTTAGTTTGCTTGACAATATTTTGTCAGCATGCTAGCTGATGGACCGTAGCACGTTTTGTAAAGACAATGAAGTCTGAGCAACAGGCAGCCTCACTACAAGTACTCTTCAGTCTTTGCTGAGAGATGGAGAGACCATTGTTTTTCTTGGTACAAATTAGTAAAGTTTTACTGTCTACTGCAACCACAAGGGTTTAATTAATTCTTCAATTACTACAGTACAAGCAAAATGTTTGCACTTACCCTAGATAGATGTAGGTGAAAAGGAACAGCAGCATCAGTGATGAAAGAATCAGCCAACCGTGGATAAACTGTTCAATGGAAAGACAAGAGAGTAGCTGACATGGCTGGATAGCTTTTTCCCCATGGTGTACTGTTGCGTGCACCAGTGTGGTCAGGGACATCCACAGGTTGCCAGCCTTTGACAGTCTTCCTCTTTCCTTCAATACACTGTACACTCCATAGAGAAGGGAGAGGGATCCCCCTGGGCTACCCAGTTACCTCACCCTCTCTCTATTCTTATCTTTCTTTCCAAGCTCTTTGAGCCTGCACCCTTCTGCTTTGACTTCCTCTCCACCAACTCCCTTTTGGATCCACTGCAGTCTGATCTCCAACCTCTCCACAACATTGAAACTTCCCTGGTTCAACAAAAAGAACGAGGAGTCCTTGTGGCACCTTTGAGACTAAACACATTTATTTGGGCATAAGCTTTCGTGGGCTAGAACCCACTTCATCAGACGCATGGAGTGGAAAATACAGCAGGTAGGTAGGTAGGTTGGTTATCTGGTTCAAATCACCAATGACTGGCTCCTCAAAGCCAGAGGAGGGCTCCTATTATCAGCAGTTATCCTGATAACCTTATCTTCTGCTTTCACAGCTGATCACTTCCTCCTTGGGCTTTCACAACTGTGCTCAGATTGTCCTTCTGCCTCCACACCTGACCTCTTAGTAAGTTCCCCTCCTCCCCCATAGCCTGCTGGTGTCCCCAAAGGGTTCTGTTTTTGATCGATTTCTCCCTCTCTATTCTCTGGGAGGGCATTCAGCTACTAGTATGTTCAAGTTTCACACTCACTCTCTCACACACACACAATTTTAGCCTCCCGCTTACCCCATAAATGAAATCTCACATCTCTTCCTGGGCAGCCTGCTGCCACTTTACACAAACATGACAAGAACTGAATTTGCCTTTTCCTCAAACAACTCTCCTCTTCCTCCCCCCACCCCACCCACCATAGACAACTCCAACCAATCCTCACAGCCAGGAACTATCCACTTCCTCAGAAAGCTGGTCTCACACTCTTGAAAAGGAGGAAACTGATGGGACAGTGTAGCTATATCAAAACATCTTCATTTGCTAATATCAGTCAGGACAGAGTTTAAACTCTGAAACCTCTTCACTCAAAGCTACAGGATTCAAGCCAAAATGGAGACTATAGTACAAAAAAATCAGACCTTTTACTTATAGGAGAGGATACCTGGGGGGGGGGGGGGGGGGGGGTAGAAAAATCCACAAGTTTTAATAAATTAGGCTCCAGGTTAACTTGGAGCCTAGACAGAGCACTTTTACAGCTCTGTTACATGGGAAGTGTACTTTCTCAAGTACTTAAAAAATTCCAGAGACTGACCATATCTCAAAACCAACTGCAAGAAATGGAGACAGAAAAAATGCAGTCTCTGTTCAGTGTAGAACTTTGACTAAAACTCAAACAGCTGTTGCATAGTCACACAGGGTGTTACACAAGAGTGGAGGAGATGAGGCCTGTGTGGTTTTAGTTTTACTCTACAAAGACAAAAAAACCCATCTAGCTATGAGCTCCCAACAGTCAAAAAAAATAAAGCCAGCCTCACGTTAGTTATCTGTGAATGCCCACTGGCTGTGAAGAGAGGATAATGAAGTCATTAATTGCTGGTAATGGCTACTCTAGAAGGAGATTCCTATTCTGTGTAAAATCTAGGAGAAGAACTAATGCAATGCCCATACGTCTCTCCCCAACGCACAAGTCCTCTCAAAACTAGTTTGGGATGCTTCACTGATTACTATAGGACTTCTATTTTGTCCAGCATAAATACCTCACCTTGTAACAACGATATTTATACAGCACAACTAGGAACACTGTCATCACGATGATAACACTGATCATTATGATGGTATTCAGCACGGAGTTCAGGAGACGCTGGCCCACGGAAGGTGTATCTTCACTAAAAGGGGTGTAGATCCTGCAGAGCAAAGAGACGCAGCGTAGTAGACAGGTACGTACTATGCTATTACACCGCCACCAAGATAAACTGTGTCCTCCAATGTCTGTGTGACTCCCATGATCACTGGAATCCCAGCCCTAATCCCCAGAGTGTGCTTAGAGAGCACCCACAGCAGAGAACCCTATGAATCACGATAAGGGAAGATTTCAGAGTAGCTGCCGCATTAGTCTGTATCCGCAAAAAGAAAAGGAGTACTTGTGGCACCTTAGAGAACAACAAATTTATCTGAGCATAAGCTTTCGTGAGCTACAGCTCACTTCATGCATCCAATGCTCATGAAAGCTTATGCTCAAATAAATTTGTTGTTCTCCAAGGTGCCACAAGTCCTCCTTTTCTTTTTATAAGGGAAGAGACCATTAACTTCAGCATCTTTATTTAGAAGACTTTTCATTCTTTCTGCATACGGAGGTCTCTCCAGGCCACTAGTAATTTTTATTGCTTGTCTCTGGACCCTTCTGTTTCTGCTGTACATTTTGTGTGATAACGGTTAAGACTGCACCATTGATTTCTAGAGTATTAGTCTCTCTTGTTTTTCCACACATCCTAACATTGCTTCCTTCAGCTATATTCAAGGGAAATGCCAGTCCCCTTTTAATCCCCTTATGAAACATCCTCCAGCCCCCTGTTACAGCCCCAAGAATGCCCTCAGTCACGGTCCTGGTCAAGAGGGCTGGACGGAACTCTGTGCCAATTAACACGAGTCTTTAAAAGCCACAGAGATCGTTCAGCAGTGAGACACTTTTCCGTCCACCTGAGTGTGCTGTGTCACATTTGCTGCCAGCTGGTGCCTAAAACAAACAAAACAAAACGGGTGGGAGGGGTGGAATCCAACCCGAGTTCTTACAATGCAGTGGGAAGCAGCCTCATCACAATTTCTGAGGTAGCCAGAGTTAAATCAGTTTAAGTCCTACCCAGATGACTCTGAACTTCCAGTGCCCTTCCCCCACCCCCCCCATTGGTTTGTAACGGATACATTAGGGTCCATTCCTGTCAGCTGAACTTAGTATATTTAGCCCAGTTCAAAAGAATGAAGTCTTTGCCTGTTTACAGAGTTAGGTTTTTAACTGAGTGGGTAAAGGTTCTCTCATCCCATTGTGGAAGGCCTCTGGGTGCACACATCTCTACATATACGGACACAGAACGTGTTTGTAATGCAAGAGATCACAGCCACACACACACGCTGCTTTTAAGAACCTACTTACAACTGCCCATTTTTCTCAGTGTAGAAGCGCACTGACTTTATGGTGGCAACGACAACAATCATACACAGCGTGACAGGCACAAAGAGCATGATCACATGCTTTGCTCCATATTTCAGGGTCAGTTCCTCCTCCTCCTTATTGTCCACAGCAATGTCTCTTACTGGAAGTCCTGAGTCAGAATTACCGCTGTCAGCATCACTAGGGCTACAACTGCCACCAGTATGCCTCTTCTGTAACGAGAGGTTAGAGTATGCATAAGACCCTTTTTATTGTCCATGTAAAGCATTCACTCATTTCCTGGTGACACACAGTAACACCCTATAAAATAACAGAAAGCTCTCACTACATGGAAGTGAGCATGTAAGCCCTATGACTAGCGATGCAAACATCACCTGCATCAGACATGCTATGAACTGGATTTTTTTTTTTTTAATAAAGTGTAAAGCATAAGTCTACAGACATTTAAAATGGGGAGGGGGCAGTGCACACAATTTGAACTGAAGGAAATTCTAGCTGAAGAGTCTGATGCCCAGCCATTTGAATCTGTTCTCTCAGCAATCCTGTCCTTGCATTACATGGCTGCTTCACTATTACTTGCATAAGATCCTATTTAACATCTGTTTTGTTTGCCCAGTACTGAGGAAGCTCTGGAGAATAGCTCAGCCAGCTAGTTTTAGCTTCCTTGTTGTTTAATTAAAGGTCCAGAGAGAACATCCCTCAGGAAAGTCACGGGTATCAGATCATGCTTAAAACTCACAGCTCTAGCAACTGGGAGGGGAGGGGCATGAAGAGACAGGGAAAGAAGTGACTATTGCCGTTATTTAAGAAATACACTCTTCAGTACCTCTGAAATGAGGCCTGACCGACTCTAGGATACACTGGAAGGCACTAAGTGATTTATTCAGCAGAGCAGCAATGGCATCATACCACATTTTCTCTCTTTCTAGACGCATTGCAGACCTACCCTGTACGTCTGCGTCTCCACTGCTTCTGGTGCTTGCAGCCCATCCTGGTAGGAGGCTGCAGGAGGGCTCTCTGCTGATATCAGCGATGTTCTCTCATTGCAGGCTTCCTCTTCACTGTCTGAACTGTTCATGAATGTGATCATCATCAGTCTCTCATACAGTGCCTAGAACCAAACACAACAAGAGGAGAGAGAGAAGTCATGATACAAACTAAAAGCCACAGACACAGAATTGGAGATATGGGCAAGAAGTGCAATTCTAATGGGGATGTTCTTGCAGGGGTTGTGACTACTTATCTTAGTACAACATAATAAACTTGCATATTGAAAAATGCATCATGCTCTAGATGAAATTAGATAGTGGTGGGGGGGGGGTGGTTCCTGTTTCGTCTTTTATACAGTTGGATGGGGAAGTGAAATTCAGTGCCTAATTAGCAGCCAAGTGAGAGTCAAGTCCTCTCTTTAGTCACAGCATGCATGGCTGCTGCAGCTGTTCTCCCCTCCTTGCCACGGTGCCTTGACTTTGAGACAGAAGAAGCACCTCTAAAGGTTAGAAAGCAGTTCAATTGCCATGGCCTAACCAAAGCTTCACCTCTGTCAACTGCCAGTCGTGAGCCGTCATTCGTCTGCTCGAAAGGAGAGTGCGTCCAATGCCCACAGGTTAGATCAATGAGCAGCAGCCAGACAGCGGTAAATTTTTGGTCACTAAGAGCCTGGGCTATAGTTAAGCCAATCTGTTGAAATGTAAGTACAGTAAAAGCTGTGTTATCTGGTCCTGTACCAACAGGAAAGCTCTATAACCTGGCATTTCTAATCTTCATAGAAAGTTCGGTTTATAGTCCGGTTGGCGCAGGGCCAGCAGGTTCCCTACCTGGCTCTGTGTGACTCCCTGGAAGCAGTGCAGGTAGAGGTGCAGCAGGCAGCCCTGTGGACTGCCTCCACCCACAGGCACCGCCTCCACAGCTCCCATTGGCCATCCCTAGGAGCAGCAGGGACAGATTGCTGCTTCCAGGGAGCTGCCAGAGGTGAGCGCCACCTGGATCCAGCACTCCAAAACCCCTCCCGTACCCCAACCCCCTTCCCTGAGCCCCCTCCTGTACTCAAACTCCCTCCCAGAGCCCACACCCCTCCCATGCCCCAACCCCGCACACTCTCCCTCTAAGTTAAAAAAAAAAAAAAACACACACCATCTAGTTACCAGCACTCCCCAACATGCCAGATAAAGCTTTTACTGTATCTAGCAGCCTTATGAATTTCCTAGGGAATGATTCCCCTCCCACACCAAGCATGGTAAGAAAACTAGTTTCTTGAAAGAGGAGCTCTTTCTCACTGTAAGTTAGCCAGCATTGTCCCAGCTGTATTGTTTCATAGAAAAAGAGCAAGACACTTGGAAGGGAAACAACTTGGAGTTTATCAGCACAGATTTCATTGTTTTGGCCAGATTCCATACGCTGCTACTCAGAAATAAGAAGTGACATGGAGAAGATTCAAGAGGAACAACATTTTTTCCACTGGAGAGAGACTTGCATGCCTGCATTAGCCAAGGATACCATGATTTCAGTCAACCCTAAGAATGCACCTACTTCGCCCCTCTCATCCCTATCAAAGAGGCTTTTGCACTCTATCAGGTTCAGGAAAGCTCAATCCAGGAGAATTCATTTTAGCATTTCACAGTTCAGCTTAGAGGGGCAAATAACCAGAAATGACAAAATTCATTTCTCAGGCTACTCTCAGTGAGGGCAAAACCAAACCTTTCAGACATTGGACAGTTTGAACTGATTCATTTAAAAGCTCTAAGCATGTGATTCCCCATGACATCTACAGAGCATTTAATCCAGGGATCATGACAAAGGAGCCCAACATGGACCAAGAGGTAGATATTGTCTCCCTTTTAAACTTGAAGTGGAAGTACAGAGAAGCTCAGTGACTTGGCCACAGTCACAGACTAAATCAAGAGTCAGAACAAGTCCTGACTCTCACACTCATGGTCCAAACAGCGGGACCTCCTGGTAGAGAGCATAGCCTAGAGTTTCAGATGTGGTCACCTGAAAGATACCTGGGAGATCCCACTTTCTTCTCACTGTGTTTAGCTTTAGGAGGAATTAAGCAATTCCCTTTCCCCCACAACTCCTGATCTTCATTCACTTTGTCCATTCCCCCACAAAGAGGAAATTTCAGAAAGAAAATCCATCTCCCAAGTGATATACTCTTTCCAGAAGAGTCTTCCCTACCTTCCCTTCAAAGCCTGAAGTATCAGTGTAATTCCTGCATTATCAATAAAAGCAATACAGTTCAGAGGTGGAAGAGATGGCAGAAGCACTCAGTCTTGGGCTGCTTCACAATAGTGCTGTGTTCTCACTCAGTAGAATAAAACCTAATGACCCAAGTTCAAGAGCATTTTTCACTTTTGTGCCTGTCCATCTTGCATGTGCAAGTCACCTGCTGATGGGTGCTTATCAGACAATTGTGAGAGTGCATATGCAATCACATTTCTTGAAAATTTAGGCCCAAGCTTCTAGAAACTAGGCAAGTTATGAATACATGAAGTTGAGTCTTTAAAGGCGAAGTCAGGCTCATGTTGTGTAAGCAATCATCCAGGCACTACATACTTCTGAATCAGTGAAGTGAGACAAGGTGAGGTTACACATGCCCCCAGATCATAATAAATATTTAACCCTCTGACCACTGCAGCCGAGATGGCTCCACACAGCTTCTGTATATGCCAGAGAACCAAGGGAAGAGTAAGAGGCCAGTCTCAAGCAGTTTGGATCCAAATTTAGGTTTTACATAGCTCAAATATTGTCAGGAACATCCCACATACACACACGTACGTGAAAGCCAGTTATTTGGGTATAAGCTTTCCTCTGCAGTTTCTGCAACCTGGACAATACAATGTGGTGCTACTGCACAGGATCCAGGAAGGAACACCAAATAGCCTGTTTTCACTAGCAAAATCGTGCCAAGTGCAGAAGTTAAACAGATAGCAGAAGTAATAAGTTACATTCTCAAAACGTATTCCACTTTCACTAACCTTAGGGGTTGGCAGTTTCAGTAATCTTAGGGCTAGTAATACTACACGGAAGGACATTTTGTATTTTAAATCAGGTTTTAAAAAAGCTTGACAGCGTCTCTTTGAAAGGGGAATAAAAGAAACCATGGAGAAATGCAGAGATGTGAGAGTAATTCTATCCCAAATCATGCTAATAAGGTCAGACCAAGCCATATAGTTCTACTAATCTCCCCTTCCCTTGTTCATTAAGTTTTGTGTTAACGGTGTGTTGGTGTAAAGTCTCTGATATCACAATATAGTATTACAGGGCCTAGTCTAGATCCCTACTAGCAACTGACCCTTCAGTTGGTCACCACTCTCAGAGATGATCAATTCCCTAAAAAGCCGTTTCCTTTCTGCATCATCTTCCTTACGTGAATTTACCCCTTGGGGTTGGTAAATAGTCCCAAAATGGGGACAAATAAGGACATTCACACTCCCTTTCCAGAGACTGTGGTAGTCAGCTTCTCTAACACTGCTATTTCTTTTAACAGATTCTAAAACACTGTGCTCTGGACTGTCAAATTTCAGGTCTAGCAGCTCAAGCAGAGTCTGCTACAAAACATCTCATATGTTGAAGTGAGCACTCCCTCGGAGTAGTAAGACTTTAGGATCCACCCTGATCTCTCTCATGTATTTATTGAGCATTGTCAGTGTGCTTAAGTCTTTGCAAAGCAGAGGAAGATCCCTGGCTCAAGGAGCTCAAACTTCAAACAGAAATACAATGGAGATACAAAGCACCAGCTGGCCAGGAAAAGGATGTCAAATTATTAGAGTTTGTTTCTGCACCACTTTGATTGGTGGCTTAGTGTTGACAGGCCTCATGGAAGCAGTGGACTGTAAGGAGGTATATATGAACCAAGAGGGGGTTCCTGGCTCCCAAGTACAGCAAGGGAGTTCCACTCAACAGAAAGCAAAGAAAGTTTCTTCCATAGAACCAGATATATTTGTCCATTTTACCAAATGGAAGTTGTGTATAGACCATGAGTTTTCCTAGGCTCGTGCTGGAAGAAGGAAAGACACTTCAGAAAAGGAAATTAGGAAAGAAAGCCGGAAAGGTTGAGATAAACACACTTCCTTTATGGCACTAGTGATAGCAGCTTAAAAAAAAATGTAACAAATGCAGGCTAAGTCTGCATTTTCATATTGTTCAAACAACTCGAGTATGAGCCTCTGAATAACGTGAATAAGGAAGACCAGCACCTGTTTTAAATATGATCCTAATAGTTACAAAATCACACATCATTTTCTACTTCTCCTCTGCGGAGCCAGGGGTTGTTACAATTCTCTCAGTTTATATTAAAAAAAGAGCAAACAGAGTCAAGAGGCTGATCCTGCAGACCCGTAGGACAAAAGTGAAATGGAATGATGACCCTATGGTACTAAGTAATTGCTATTAGTAGGTAGCAGAGATGGGGATGCAACCCAGTAGTCCTGGCTCTAACTCTCCTATCTATTTCACAGGGTGGGTCAAGCTGGTTATCGCTCCACTGACTTTAACAGAGCTGAGGATGTGACCCACTGTGACATTATCCCACTTCAACAAGTAGAGTTTTCCCTTGTAGGCTTATTCCACAGGAGCACATCCTAAAGCTCGCTTCTATTGCACAAGAGTACTGTACCTTGTTTTATCCATTGGAAATTAAAATATCAGTATGTATAGGGGACAGAATCGCTGGTCTACACTGGCAGGAGGTTTACTCATTGACTTGAAAGTTGAGACCTACTTATACAGTTCTCTTTGGTGGTAATTAGGTGAGGGGGGGGGTCTATTATTTTTTCTAGCTATGTTTAGCCCGGGGGGGGGGGGGGGCAGAGCCACTCTGAAGCAACAGAAACAGGTTTTCCTTAAAGTTTAGATCGCAAGGGTCACTGCTGTTGGTAAACACACCAAGGGGGGGAGGGGGATAGATTTTAGAAAATAACTGGAAAAACAAATACAGAGGTGATGTTACTCTTACAAACTCCACCCACAAAAATAAGCCTCACTTATGCAAGTCACCAAAATAACAGGAGGCTCACAGTAAATTGTGTAGACATTCAAAGCATGAAACTGAGTGATGCCTGGGCCACTCTTCAGCAGGGCCTGATTACATCCATGTGCTCTGCTGGGCTCCCTGGGGTTGGTTCCTTCTTGATTAGGAGACACTACTATGTGTCCCCCAACTCCCAACCACCACCCACTTATGGCATCAAAATGAGATATCAATCATAGTAAATTGAGAGCTTCTCCCGCCGGCATGGCTACCACCACCCGTTGGATGTGGTTTAATTATGTTGATGGAAGAGCTCTCTCCCGTCAGCATACAGCAGCTACACAAGAGATCTTACAGTGGCACAGCTGCATCGGTACATCTGTAAGCTCTCTCGTGTAGACATGGCCTTAATGTTGACATTTAAATCATCACTACTGGGCATTGGAGTTAACACCTGGGGCAGTTCACACCTCTCAGAACTATTGTTACAGGCTCAGTGGACTGGCATAGACATCCCTGTTTCAGTTACACTGTTATAGTTGTTTCTGAGCCCTAATAGAAGAGGTGATAAATACTGTAGGTGAACAGTGTGTCTTTCATCCCAAGAATCCTAGAGTGCTAGATCAACCATATGCCAACAGCAACATAGTTATCAACCAGCATATTTCTAAAGAGTGAGGAGAGGTGAAATCTTGGCCTAGAATGAAGTAAATGTGTCTGCTAGGAAATCCTGTAAAGATTTTTAAACATCCAAGCAGAGCAGACCACACTTAATTTTAGTGACTCAGCCAAAAGGTGCCCCACCCTAACCTTGCCATTAAATCGTACACAGTATAGAATTCATCTGCCTTGGTATTAAGATGTCAGCTCTAGGGGAGGAATGTTAGTCTTGTGGTGAAAGCACTAGAGTGGCACTCAGGAATTCTGGGGTCAGTTCAAAGCTCTGCCACAGAGCTTCCAAGATGATTTTGGGTAAGGCACTTCATGTCTGTAGGCCTCTGCTCCCCATCTGTAAAACTGGAACAACAATGCTTCCTTTCTCACACCCTCGGTCTTGTCTATTTAGACTGTAAACTCTTCAGGCAGCCAACCACGTAGTAAGACTATCCCTGCTGTGGTACAATGGACTCCAATACCTTCTAGGGCCCCAAGGTGTCAAAAATATTTTGTCATCATCCACCCCTGGATTTGGCTCTGTGGTTCCAAGGAATCTAAACACTTCAGTCTTGTTGCTTTGACCAAACATGCTTCCCTTCAGGTAGAAAGTCTGACAGACATTTGCTGCAACAGATAGCATATGAATTCAAATATTGATAAGATGAGTGATGTATGCATGACTTAGAGGAGATTTTCCCCATCCTCCTATTACCTCCCTCCTCACTCTGTACATTTTTAAAAGGGTAAAATCCCCATCTCATATCCACAGAGTAAATTCTGTTGGCTGTGGCAGTCCACTCTCCCTACATTTCTGGAAATTCCAGTATGAGAGCAGAACGCAAGAGTAGGGATCATGTAGGTGAAAAAAGTCCACCCTCAAGTAGGGATGCTAGAGGAGGCATATGGATATCTACAATAGTTCCCTGAAAGTTACCACCATCTACAGAGAATGGGGACGTTGTCAGGTAAAGCTGTCACTAGTCATCATAGGAAACCTTCAGGCCTTCACCTTCTGGGAGGTATACCCAAATTCAGGCTCTCAATTAAACCCTTCTCAGATGAGCAATAACTCCTTAGCTATGGTCTAGCTTTTTTTTTGCTAAGATTGCCGGATTTCTAATGCCAAGGAAGTCTCACTTGTCATCTCAGTGTGATCCACAGCAACATTTTCAAAGCCTAAAGTTTATACAACATTCCTATACAGCTTGGTCACCACAGCCAGTAACAGAGCCTATCACACAAAACTGTCACTACATCATTTTATGTGACTGCAAATGGGCAGGCTGCTAGTAAGCGTATTGGATGCTGATTCACACTATGAAACATTCTGAGAACCATGTGCCAGAGAATTTTTCTAGGCCACTCATTTGAGGATCACTAACATTCATTCCAAACAAATACCAAGTGGTAATAGTGATAAATATTTGAAGGAGGAATAATAATCCTGTATCTTAACCACAAGGCTGTATCTTGGGCTCATCTCTACAACTATGGGCAAGTTACTTATTGTTAAGTCACAGTACTAAGAATATCAGAGGAGTAGCCATGTTAGTCTGTATCCACAAAAAAAAACAAAGATTCCGATGGCACCTTTGACTTCAAAGAGAAACTTCAGAGCTACAATTCATTTGCAAGATTTAACACCATTAATTTAGGCTTGAATAGGGACTGGCTGGCTCACTACAAAAGCAATTTTCCCTCTCTTGGTATTGACACCTCCTCCTCAATTATTGGGAGTGGACCACATCTCCAGGATTGAATTGGCCTTGTCAACACTGGCTCTCCACTTGTAAGGTAACTCCTTTCTCTTCATGTGTCAGTAGATTTAGGCCTGCATCTGTAATTTTCACTCCATGCATCTGAAGAAGTGGGTTTTTTTTACCCATGAAAGCTTATGCCCAAATAAATCTGTTAGTCTTTAAGGTGCCACCAGACTCCTTGTTGTTTTAGTACTAAGAATCAGGACCTGGGTTTCATTCATTGCTCTGCTTCAGTCTTACCCTAGAACCTAGCAGCCAGCCACTCAATAGATTCATCACTCATCTTCCTTATTTAGAAAATAGGGACAAATGCTCACCTTCCTTACAGGGGAAATGTGAGGCTAGAAGTTCATGGAGTGCTTGGAGATCCTCAGACGAACAGTGCTTAAAAAAAGGAAAAGAAATACTTATAAAGCAAGAAGATTAACTTGTTAACTCCCCAGGTTCACTCCAATTTAAATCACAGACCTATAGATAAATGAACATGATGGTATGCTGTAGCGGTAGTCCATGAAAAAGGGAATATTCAGAAAGGAACAATGTTATCAGTTCATTCTAGAAGACCGGGGCTATGCAAAAAAAAATTTTTATCTCCAGTGTTTTCAAAAAAATTCCTCTAAAACAATTTGTCGGTAGCTGTTCTGCAGTCTTCTCATGCCAAACACCATAACACAAGACTAGGGCATCAGAAACAGAAAATAAAAGTGACTGGCTTAGTTTAATTCATTGGTTGTTTCAGATCTGAACTAACAGTATAAAGAGTAAGAGACTTTTAAAGTGGTTTTGGCCTTAACCAAAAGTATCATTAGAAACCAGGGGTAAGGGCCTTCCAAAACGGCTTTTAACAGCAAATACATACAGGGGTTAAGTACATGGGTGCTGGAACAATTTTGATAGTGGGGGTACTGAGAGACATTGAACAAAACTGTAAACGCTGTATATCATGGAAACCACTTCCAGCCAGGGAGGGCTGCCACACCCCCAGTTCCAGCAGCTATGGTTAAGCGTTACTGTGAGTCCACATTCTCCCTACCAAGGCAGCGGTTTCACGTTGCCAGTATGCACGCAGGGACAAGGAGTCAGCCCCAGCCTGGGACGGACACCAGGAAAGCGCCTGGAAAACTGAGCCCAACAACCCAACTGCAACCGCCCCGGCTACGAGGCAGGAGACCCAGGTCGGTCAGCGAGTGGGTGGACCTGCAGGGCCGTGACACGCTGGGCAGGGGTCACCCGCAAGCCCTCCTCAGCAGGGAGGGCTGTAAGGGGGCGCTACCCACGGAGGCCCCGAGCTGCAACACCAGGACCGCCCCGCCTGCCTTGTCCCTGTCGAGCCCCTTCAGCGGGGGTCCGAGGAAGGGCCCATTCGGGGCGCAGAGACACGGTGCCCCCCCAGAGCTGGGCTTCTCAAGGCAGCGCCCGCGCTCTCCAGGCACCCACCCGCCTGCGGCCCTGCCCCGCCCCGCCCCAGCGGATCTCGGGGCGAGGGGGAGCAATTCCAGGAAGCCGGTGCAAGGAGAGCTCAGGCGGCCCAGGCCGCAGAGGCTCCCGCAGCCCAGGGTAGCCTTACCCGGCCCAGCGCAGCGCTCTCCGCCAGCCACATCTGCAGCGCCCGGCTCCGCACAGCTACGAGCTCCGTGAGCCTGTTTACCCAGGCACGGCACAGCACAACTCCGCTCCCATTGGCTCCGCCGCGTTCTCTCTCCGAACACGGATTTAGGATTAGCGCGGCCTCTGATTAGCCGAGTCGGCTGTCACCCACTGCCTGCTTCCTCCCACCCCGAAGCCTCTCCTCCAATAGAGGGGAAAGGTGCCGAGGACCAGCCAATGGGAAGGCGGCGTGCGGGCGTGGGCGGAGTTCCGTGGTGTCCCAGCTGGCGGCTGGGTCATATGGCGCGTGATTGCGCTCTGGAGCTGTATAGGAGCCTATTCGCTTGCCTGGTCTAGCGCAGCTGCAGAGCCCGGGCTGTTGGGTCCCCATGGTTTAGCCTAGCTAAGGAATTCTTGCGGTTTGACCCACGCTTCGCTTTGAAACGACGGCGCAAGGAACCAGGCAGTTCAGAGGATTTTGGAGTGGTCCGAAGCTTTTGCTTCAATGTTGTCATTAGTCTGAGCATCTGCTCTACTATAAAGAGTATCAGCACGTTAGATCTTCCTTGGCATTGCAGATTGCCATGTGACATGGCATTGGCTTTTCTCTTTAAAAAAACAATCCCAATCTGTTTTGTTTTTATCAGGTACAAAAGTAACTGATGGAGTAATTCACTCTCCATTAGAGCAGGTAGGCTCACTCTCCATAGAACTGGAAGAATTCACTCTACAGTAAGTCTGACCGCTTTCAGGAGATCCTGCAATACTCTCCTCCTTGACAAAGTATTTGGACCCTAATCAGCAAGATAGTGAGTTTTAAAAAAAGATTATTTCCCAAGCAGTCTCCTTATTCTGGGAAGTGAGAACTTAGAGAAGAAAACTCCATTAAGTTCACCAAGGACCTCACTGTGCAGATTTAATTTACATAAGAAATGATTGCTAGCTATTATGGTAATTGGCACTAGAGTATATATACCCAGAGCCTTGTCACCTTGCTTGCCTCACTCTTGGTTTCTTCTGACTTGGGCCATTTCTAGCTATATATCTTAAACGATCACAGTACTGTCTGACAGTTTAAAAACTGTGCCCCTTGCTGACTCCTTTGCCTTCTTGGCTTATCTTTCTGGACTAACTGACCCTTTGACTTCCTTTCTTCTGTCGGGTTCTAGTTACCAGAGTAAAGGAAGCACCTTGGAGTATCTATATCAAACTAGGTGTCTACCTCTCTCCCCAACACCAGCACTCCCAAAGCTCTAGTCTGTCTCTCCCAGGAGGAGAAGGGAGATTGAACAAAGACTACTGCAGTATTGCCAAATATAAGTGCTAAAAAATTATGAGACAGGCCCCCTAAAAGCACAAGATTAATTTAAAAATTGAGATTTTAAAATAAAAATGTGGGATGCTTTATATTTGCCTTCTGTTTTTTTAAGCCTCTAGGGTGCACTTGGGCCACATTTTCATATTTCCCCCTGCAACTATCAGAACTAGAAACTTACTTTGTTTTTTACACTAAAGCTGAGAACCTTGTGTATTCATATGACTCCAGGAGTTGGGGCTTTAAGAAAATGCCAAATATTGCAAGACTGACAATAAAATTGCAAGATGGCAATAGGGGTGCCACCTCCAAAGTACTAAAAACTGGGATTTCCTGAGCCCATAAAACTGGACAACTGGCAGTGTGTGCTGAGCACCCTTACAGATTTTTCCAGGACAGCTACCTCAAAAAAGGGACAATCCTGGGAAAACCTGGGCAGGGTGGCAACCCTAACTAGCAACACTACTGGACTGTAGTCATGTAAGGCTCAGCCTGCTTCCCTCCAAGTATATGTTCTGTCTGTTTATATCTGGTTTCCAGGGAGAAAAAAACTGCTTTAGTTATGTGTGTCTGTAGTATGTGAGTGAATAATTCTAAGACAATGTGGTCTGTCAGACCCCTTCCTTGAGAGTGCCTGCTAAGGAGCTTTCAGCCTGGGAGTCCCTTCACATGCTATTTCTGAATACATCCCTTGAGAAGCATCTGACCTTAGGGGAAGCTAAAGAATCCTTTCTACTAACTGCCCAATCCATATTAGTGCGTACTCCAGATAAAGGCTTTCTGCTGCTTTTTTTTTTAAACAAACAAATCTGTGCAGTCATTTCCTTAAAGCACTTTTCATAAATAATAGAGGGAGAAGCGGCTCTTAAGAAGATCTGACAAACAAAACTTCAGCTTTCCAGCACAGAAGGTCACATTCTCTTTCCAGAAACTATTATCAGCTGACTGACCTTTTTTCTAAACACAGAGAGACATTCATAGGGGTTGCCCTCATGGGAGAGAGCAAAAGTTGGACCACACTGATCTGGCCTAAACTGTTATAGTTGTCCACGTGTATGCAGTGAGTCATGGATATTTAATGTTAGGAGGTATAAATAACAGCTGGAAGCATGATTTCTGACAGAAGTGAAACAGTGAGGTGCTACATTGGCTCTCCAGTGGCAATAGGCACAACACTATCCATCAGAATAGCATTAAAGGCCTCTTCAGATACCTAGATGACATGCAAGAGGACCAGTCTGTGGTGTGGGTTTCTGGAACATTTACTCTAGAATACACAGACCGTGTTTCTCAAGAGCAGGGGTGACCAACCTGAGCCTGAGAAGGAGCCAGGATTTAGCAATGTACATTGCCAAAGAGACACAGTAATACATCAGCAGCCCCCCCCCATCAGCTCTCCCGCCCCCGCTCCCAGTGCCTCCTGCCTGCCAGCAGCCCCGCTGATCAGCACCTCCCCATCCCTCCCTGCATCTCCTGATCAGCTGTTTCCTGGCATGCAGGAGGCTGGGGGAGGGAGAAGCGAGGGCATGGCAGGCTCAGGGGAGGGGGCAGGAATGGGTGGAGTGGGGGCAGGGCCTGTGGCAGAACCAGGGGTTGAGTAGTGAGCAGCCCCTGGCACACTGGAAAGTTAGCACCTGTAGCTCCAGCCCGGGAGTTGGTGCCTATACAAGGAGCTGCATATTAACTTCTGAAGAGCCGCATGTGGTTCTGGAGCCACAGGTTGGCCACCCCTGCTCAAGAGCCTTGGTAGATTTGTCAGAGCCTGGAAACCTGCAACCCCTCTGGGAAAAGTAATTACTGAAGTGTAACAGGGTGGTCTGCCCATCTAAAGGCCAGGAGGCTTTGGGTCAGTCAACCCTGATCAACTAGCCTTTCTCTGCTACACCTGTGCTGGAAATTGGACTTAAGAGGAAGGCAGCCAGCAGTAGAGAGCTAGCTGGAGGGGAGAGCAGAAAGCTCTGTGGGGCTGGAGGAAAGTATGAGGCAGGCAGAGGCCCGTGGAACGCTTGAGGTAGGAAGAGCTGGGTATGGCTGCTTGGGAAAGGAGCCTGGGAAGGGCCAAACCTGGAATGAGAAAGGAGGACCTGGGTCAGTGTGAGGCTGGGACAAAGACTTTTTTATTTTTGGTTTTTGGACTAGGAGTACCCCAGAAGGGGTGGACTTTTGTTAATGACTTAGCTGGAGGGTGAAATCACTTCAGCAAGTCACTTCTTCAACTGTAGTAGGCTGAGGAATGTAGTGGGGAAACTGAGGCAGAGCACTGCAGCAGGGGGTCTTGCTGTGAGAAGAATGGGGAGTCATATAACATCAAGGTGCACATCTTTCTCATACAAACACTGGCTGACACTGAGGTGGGTCTGCACATTTGTTGGACTTTCAGAACTTTGCATCCTTTTGAACTGCAAACTCTGAGATGCTGACCAGGTGACAGGCATGGAATGGCATACAGCAGGAAACCTATTCCTTTGCTGCTTCCTTGAATTAGCATGCATGCCAGATACTGCTGTGTGGCTTCAAATCCAACCCCTCATTCTGAATTTGGGATCCAGCTCTGAACAGTATGGCTGGCCCCTATTATTATAATGGACAGAACTAAAATCTGGATTCAAACACTCCAAGATTCTAGGGACATTTCCATTCAGTCTGAACTTTGTTCAGGGCCATATCTACTTTCAAGGGGCACTTACTGATTGACAGTTGGCTGAGTGTTCCCTGATCATCCACACTGTACTGATACATATACCAGGTAGGACCTAATGTTCCACTGACTTCCATATTTATAACATGGCAGATACTGTGGTTATGGATGCCATAAGACAGCAGCGAACCAAGCAAGATATGAGACCTAAACCAAGTTGAAGTGGCATGGGCCCAAGGTGGTGGAGTGGAGTGTCAGATAGAAAATTAATCACAGGAGACCCCTGCATAGTATTACAACCAGAGCCACACACTCAGACATTGGCACCAGTGTGGAGGTTTGATTTAAGTGGGACTCTGCACAGGCATAAAGGTCCACTGACACAGATTAGATTACAGGATCAGCAATTTACTTAGGCAGAGGTCTGCATGCGTGTATCAAAGCAGTAATCCCATTCAAGATAAGCAACAATTACCAGGGAGGCCAACAGTAATTCAGACCAACCCATTGAACTGATGATACTAAAGATCTAAAATGTTTTAGAACTGATAAACATTACTCTTATCCAGAACCTGTCAAAATATGAAAACCCCACTTACAGCCCGATGCTTGGAATTGGTATGGCAGTAGGAAAGGACTCAGACCAGCAGTAAAAGTGTTAAGCTCCTAAATTTCATTTGTCATAAAATAGGCATTACTGGGTGTGCGGTGTTCTCTAGTTTCTAAATGTTTTGAATTAATCTCTGTTTTACTGTGTTCAAGGCACATTCTCCAGGCTACTTCTCACCCTCCAAAAACACCAACAAAAGCCACTGTTTTGCTATGAGAATAGGCAGTGTTATCAACTCTCTTGCAATTTTATTGCAAGTCTCATGATAGTTGGTGTTTCTTCTAAAGGACCAGCTCCTGGAATCATATGACTGTGAGAATCTGTTTTCACTGGGGAGAAAAAAAAAATCGTCTCTCATAGTTGTGAAGAAAAGCTGGAAAGCATGACCTGAGTGTACTCTAAAGACTCAACCAGAAGGCAAAAAAAAAGAACCCAAACTGTAGTTTAAAAAAACAAAACTCACCTTGTGGTGCTTAAGCTAAGGGGTCCTGACTCCTGATTTTGAAGTAGGCAATACAGACTATTGAAACAGCATCCCCTGCATGCTGGAGCTCCCCCTAGTGTTCTGCAACAGCATTGAACCTAGAAAGTCTGAGCCTCTATCCACTGTTGTCTTAAGGCTCCCTGATCTGTCCTATTCCCCTCCCCCGGCCCCTCTTCCCAAACAGTATCCCTGGCAAAGGAGACCCCTGCAGAAGCCCAGAACCACCTCTGTTCCTGCTCTCCCCTACAAGAACCTCTACACCAGGGGTCAGCAACCTGAGGCAAAGTTGGCACGCGAGCTGATTTTTAGTGGAACTCTGCTGCCAGCCGGAGTCCCGGCCGCCGGCCCCGCTCAGCCCGGTGCTGGCCTGGATGGACGGAACCCCGGGCCAGCAGCTGGCTGAGCAGGGCCGGGGGCCAGGATCCCGACTGGCAGGGGCCAGCGGACAGAACCCCAGACTGGCAGCGGCTCAGCACCGGGAAGAATGTACCTGCTGATCCACCCTTAGGAGTGCAGGAAAGGCAAGTACCACATCGGTACAGAAGGAAAAGCCCTTCCATGAGGACCCGGGCTCCCCAGGTTGGAAGGGAAAGGGATGGCCTGCAACTCTCACTGGATTCTCACACTCTGCCCAGACATGAGGACCACAGCTATACAAACTGCTGCAGATGGTCTGTGGTAATTTATGCTGTTTTCCCTACATGCTGTGGACCCTGCCCACCCAAGAGACTTCCTGAGGCACCAGGTGGTTGAGGAAATCCTGGAACCATGAACAGTGGTTTCAGTGAGCTGGAGAGGCCAGTCAACAGTAGGGAGGCAAAGCTCATCCCTATATAAACTCCTTGTTCACTATGAATCCTCTGAGATTTCAGTGTTTGGGGGCAGAGCCCTATGCCTCTTCTGAAGGGGCTTGGGGAGAAAACCCTACTTCCCCACTAATTCCCACTCCTCTTAGCTGGGTATTCCTGCAGAGGTGAGAATAGAGGCCACTAAACAGAGTGCAGAGAAGTTTGTTAGGTCCTTTGTGTGTGTCTTTTTGTTTGAGGGCAAGTATATTCAGGATTAAGATAAATAACTATTGCTATAGAAGGTTCTTAGACACGAGGACCGCAAGAGTGGATTGGAAAACAGACAACATGGAGTTGCAAAAAGAAAAGGAGTACTTGTGGCACCTTAGAGACTAACCAATTTATTTGAGCATAAGCTTTCGTGAGCTACAGCTCACTTCATCGGATGCATTCAGATGAAATGAGCTGTAGCTCACGAAAGCTTATGCTCAAATAAATTGGTTAGTCTCTAAGGTGCCACAAATGCTCCTTTTCTTTTTGCGAATACAGACTAACACGGCTGTTACTCTGAAACATGGAGTTGATAATGCAATATCACATTAATTAACACTTATCACTCATGAGCTTCTTCCACCAAAGGATATCAAAGTATTTTGCAAAGGTGAATAAGCCTCACTTACCAATATGGAATCTGAGACAATCTGGGAGGTATAGTCTGGCCTAAGGCTCCTCTCCTTGGTTTTTATGCCCTTTGGATACTTATAAACATTCACGTGTCTACTTTAGCCAGGCTACAGTTCACATACCAAGTTCCTTTAAATGATCCTCACAGGTCAGTTCTGCTAGATCAGGGGTTCTCAAACTGGGGGTCGGGACCCCTCAGGTGGTCACAAGGTTATTACATGGGAGGTCATGAGCTGTCAACCTCCATCCCAGCCCCACTTTGCCTCCAACATTTATAATGGTGTTAAATATATAGAAAATATAATTTATAATTTTTAATGATATTTTAAATTTTTTTAATTAAATTTTTAATTTATAAGGGGGGGTCGCACTCAGAGGCTTGCTATGTGAAAGGGGTCACCAGTAAAAGTGTTTGAGAACCACTGCGCTAGACACTCTAGTTTCACACAATGGAATGCAAGCTGTTTGGGGCGCTGTACTCATTTCAGTGGTTCTCATTCAAATAAGAGCCATCAAGGCAATACCATGTACACCAGGGGTGGGCAAACTTTTTGGCCCGAGGGCCACATCGGTGTTGTGAAACTGTATGGAGGGCCAGGTAGGGAAGGCTGTGCCTCCCCAAACAGCCTGCTCCCCGCCTCCTATCCGCCCCCTCCCACTGCCCGTCCCCTGACTGTTCCCCTCAGAATCCCTGACCCATCCAACCCCCGCCTACTCCTTGTCCCCTGATGGCCCCCTCCCAGGACCCCCCGCCCCCTGGGACCCACCTCCTATCCAACCCCCCCTACTCCCTGTCCCCTGACTGCTCCCTCAACCTATCCACACCTCCGCCCCCTGACAGCCCCCCGGGGACTCCCATGCCTATCCAACCCCCCCCCACCCCGTTCCCCATCCCCTGACTATCCAGACCCTATCCACACCCCCGCCCCCGACAGACTCCCCCTAGGACTCCCACGCCTATCTAACACCCCCTGCTTCCTGTCCCCTGATTGCCCCACTACAGAACCTCTGCCCCATCTAACCACTTCCTGTCCCCTGACTGCCCCTGGGACCCCCTGCCCCTTATCCAACCCCCTGCCCCCTTACCATGCCACTCAGAGCAGCAGGAGCTTGTAGCCCCGCCACTCAGCCAGAGCCAGCCACACTTCCGTGCTGCCCGGCAGTAGCAGCGGGCCAGAGCGTTGGCGGCATGGCACACTGAGGCTGCGGGGAAGGGGAGACAGCGGGGGAGAAGTCAGGGGCTAGCCTCCCCGGCCGGGAGCTCAAGGGCTGGGCAGGATGGTCCTGCGGGCCGGATGTGGCCCGCGGGCCATAGTTTGCCCACCTCTGATCTACACCCTGACTGCCCACCCTGCTCTCTGCATTGAGTTGATCTGGGCACAGGAGAGTGTCTTGCCCTCAGTTTTACTAATGTAAGGTGTTAGTAACAAAGCTAAGAATACTTCGACTAGATCATTTCTATCCTTTAAATCACAGCATGCGAAATGGAGTTGTCAAGTTACTTTTGCCCTTCCCAGAACTGTTTTGATTCCCATCAGCTGTTTTGATTCTAAGAATCAAAGGCTCACTCATGGGAACTATTGGCTGAGAGAGAATTTTTTGTTTTTAAATGCCCACAGCAAGACTTTCTGTAAATTCTTGAAGATTTTGTTCATTAGTAGGACATTAACCAGTTAGCGGCGTGTCTGAATGTTGGTCAGAAATCACATGACTCCTTCAGAGGTGAATGTCATAGACTGGAAAATCAGTATTGTCCCTCTGAAGCTCAGGGATTCCTCTTGGCTTTGCTGATTGAAGGACAAATCCTGTGTACCTTAGTTCCAGTGAAGTTGACAGGATTGTGCACATGAGTAGGGCAAGCAGGATTTTGGGCCCAAGCTTGCTCCAACTGAAATCAATGGCAAAACTCCCATTGTCTTTAATGGGAGCAGCATCAACCTTGGGATAAAAGAAAGTAAAAGTTTTAAAAATATACACTTTATACAAAAAAAAGTTCTTAGGAATGATATGGATGGGATCCATCCTTCTCAGGTGGGATCTGCCTGGTCACAATGCCCTCTGCGCACAGAAATGGAGTGGAGTGTCTGGACCTAGAAATTCAAGTTATCCATTAGTATTCATGTCTCTGGGGAACGCCTACATAGCAGCTGGGAGGGGGCTTCCCACACACGCAATCCTGCCCAACGCCCTGGGTATATACTCAAGCAGTGAGCCTGTGACGTTGCACTCTATATGATTTTATGAAAAATGCTAATGAGTGTGAATATAATGTAACAGTAATATGCTTCATGCAAAAGGTCTCTTGTAAGGTATCATTACAAAGCTTATAATCTACTGAGTGTGGTCATCCTATTTGTATGTATGTATCGTTCTTGTATCTGAAACTAGAAATATGAAATATAACTCTGAGGGGCTATTGTAATTATGCAAAGTGTGGGCCATTAATGGTGGTTTGGAATCTTGGTGGCTCCCATTAACCAGGAAAATTGACTGTGGATGGCTCTGTTTGCTTGCAGGCCTTCCTGTGAGTCAGGCTGGGGGGAATGAAGGCTTGGGCTCTCACAGGACATGTGACCATGTCACCTGGTACTGAAATCCATCTTAAATCCTGGTGCTTTTCCATATAGAAGGGGGAGGGGGGTGGGACCTAGAGAGACAAAAGATTCCTGCCTTGTGCCAAAGCTATAAAAGGGGGCTGCAATCATGAGAAATCTCCTAGCTACCAACTGAGCTGGAACAAGGGCTGTACCAGAGGAAAGGATTGTGCCCAGACTAGGAAGGCATCCCGTCTGTGTTAGAAGCTTATTGAAACATCTCTGAGGGTGAGGTTTTATCTGTATTCAGTTTTATTACTGTACTAGGCATTGACTTGCATGTTTTGTTTTATTTTGCTTGGTAATTCACTTTGTTCTGTCTGTTACTACTTGGAACCACTTAAATCATAATTTCTGTATTTAATAAAATCACTTTTTACTTATTATTTAACCCAGAGTATGCATTAATGCCTGGGGGGGGGGGGCAGGAAACAGCTGTGCATATCTCTCTATCAGTGTTATAAAGGGTGAACAATTTACAACTTTACCCCGTATAAGCTTTATACAGGGTAAAACGGATTTATTTGGGGTTTGGACCCCATTGGGAATTGGGCATCCGAGTGTTAAAGACAGGAACACTTCTTAAGCTGCTTTCAGTTTAGGCCTTCAGCTGTTGGGGGACATGGTTCAGACCTGGGTCTGGGTTTGCAGCAGACTAGCGGGTCTGGCTCAAACCAGGTAGGGCACTGAACTCCCAAGCTGGCAGGGAAAGCGGGCTCAGGGGTAGTCTCAACACATCAGTTCGCAGCCCCAAGGGGGTTTCTGTGATCCAATCTGTCACAGAGCCCATACTGCTGTGGTCACCCTGCTATTTTTTGCACGCTAGCTCCGCTCAAATTAGTGTGTGTCTGTCTGCTGGCACTAGGAAGCAACCTCCCAGTTGCTGTGTAGATGTAGTCTCTGCATCTGGCCCTTTGTATCCTATAAGAGATGCTTAGAACACACACTAGGGGGCAGAGACCTTCTGTGTATGGATTTCCATCTGCGGCAGAACCTCTTGTTATACACATTACTGCTTTGCAGTCTGTTACCTTTCATGACTGTCTCTGAGGTGTATTTTATCAAACATATGTGAAATTCATTGACTGCTCCCCTTTATGGGGAGCTTATCTGTAAAATGTCTCTTGCAAAATTCCTGGCACTATTTAAAGCTATTGTTTCGAAATTGCATTCCATTTGCCAGATTCTGATATGCTAGTCAGACGTGCCTAATTCAGTGCTACATCTCTCTTCTAACCTCGCTGCTTTTGTCTGGTGCACTAGATCTCACCAAGATTTCTCAAAGAAACCTCATCTGAAGGTTCTCCCGCAGATACACCAATAAGCATTAGAAGTGCGTTTATAGTAGTATCCAATTTTCCTGTGTCTCACCTCTTTAAAGTAGCAGGTTCCAAGTGACATGTCTTGTCCACGTTAGGGCTCCCATCATTGACCCAGTTCAGCAAGGTCCTTAAGCATGTGCATAACTTTAAGCATAAGAGTTGCCCTATTGACTTTAATGGTTGAAGTTATGCATATGCTAAAGTATCTTACTGAATTGGGCCCATTGGTACCACTGGCGGTGGAGCTGAACTGATGTTAGGAATGGTAGGAAATCTGAGCTATCGTGTTTTGTTTACGTCTGGGACATTTTCACTTTTATAAAATAACAATCTGGCCTTTGATTTTAATATTTGTTTCCTCTAACTGAAGTTCACCTACTTCTCCATGTTAATCAGTGGAATTCCTTTGGATTAAATGTCATACTATTTCTCAGACTCTGTCTAAATACAGAAGTTGCACCAGTTTAACTAGATTGCTTTTTAAGCCAGTTAATGAAGCTGGTGCAAACCCCTGAGTAGCTGCTATTTTGATTTCACAGTGGCTTATTTTGCTTGAGTTTAAAACCGTTCCTAGTCAATGTAAACTAAACCAGCTAAGCCTAACTAAAACCGAAAAAGGAGTGTCTACAGAGGTGTTTGTGCTGATTTAACTAAATCAGTTTTGACTCATGCTGTTACTTTCTCCTACTGTACCCTGAAACTGTAGGTATGTTTCAAAACAGAACCAAGAACATGTCTTTATAAAACAGAGGTTGAATAGATGCTTTAAGTGCAAAAGTCAATGCAACCTTAATAGGGGTTCCCACCTGCTCTCACAATACAAACTTAAAACAAAAACTGGAGACTCTTCTAGCATTTTCACCATAAGACACTTTCCTTATTGTTTTCCCATGTGATGGACATGATCACTTCAAGAGGGGCAAATTAGCTAATTAATCTTAACATCTGTGATTGTCCTGGATACTTGAAAGTCTGACACTTTACTAATGAGTTACACACCTCCTTTCATGGTCCCCATTTGTGGTTTTTCTTAAGTGCAGTAAGGACCCTGGGCATGTCATGTAGGCCAACGTTTCACAAATGGCCACTCATTTTGAGTGCCCAACTTGAGACACCTTGACCCTCATTTTCATATGTTCTGAGCTGGCACAACTCTGCATGAAGTCAGTGGAAGCTTTGGGGGCCAAGGACTTCTGAAAATCTGCTATCACAATCTGGGCACCCAAAAACAGAGGCACCGAAAAGCAGTGGCCAGTTCTGAAACTGTTGGCCTTCATCTCTCCTTGCCTCCATTTTCCCACCTGTAAAGTGGGTGTGATGATACAAAGGGCAGGTCTATACGTAAAACACTGCATCCACATAGCTGCATTGATGCAGTTGCACTGCTGTAGCGCTTAAGGGAAGATGTTCCTATGCCAGTGGGAAAGAGCTTACCCCATTGGCACAGTTAATCCATCTCCCTGAAAGGCAGTAGCTATGTCAACAGAAGCAGCTCTCCCATCGACATAGTGCTGTCTATATGGGGGGTTCGGTTGGTATAACTGCGTTGCTCGGGGTATAGATTTTTCATACCCTGAGAGACGTAGTAATACCGATATAGGTCTGTAGTGTAGACCTGGCATCACTGTTCTTTGTAAAGTGCCTTGAGATCCATGGATGAAAAGTGGCATTGAAGTGCTAAGTGACTATTATCCTTAATGAAGACGAATGATCACCACTTCTCCATGCTCACTGCCAGCTGTTAAATATCATCTTACCCAACCTCTGCTTTCCTTCCAAAATTCCATTTTCATCTTCTATAGCCTAGTGCAGAGCTGTTTAATCTCATGTTTGTTTATTTCAGGCCTCTTGCTGTGGGCTCCCTAACTGCCTCTGATTCATTTCACAGTTTCATCCAAAGCAACCATCTTAAATGTCAGTTAAATGATTTCCCCTGTTAAAATATTTTCATGGCTCAGAAGCACAGCATGAAAATGTTTTTTTAAGGTCAAATCCTGCCATCCTGATTCAGGTAAAACTCCTGGTGAACTCCGGACTGAGTCAGGGCTGCAAGATTTGGCCTGTAGTTCTACAGTTCTACAGTGAATATAGCTAGCTCTACAGTGGAGGCATTCAGCAGTGGAGGCATTCAGCATTCGGCATACAGTGGAGGGGTGTGAAGTCTTTGTAGACTAAGGTCATGTCTACACATACACATGTTGTGGTGCTGCTGCAGCACGTCTGGCGAAGACACTCTATGCTGACAGGAGAGCTCTCCCGTTGGCATAATAAAACCACCGATGTGAGCGGCAGAAGCTATGTCAGTGGGAGAAGCTCGCCTGCCAATATAGCGCAGTCCACATTGGCCCTTCTGTCGGACACTTGGCGGGCGGGGGGGGGGATTCACACCCCTGAGCAATTCGGACACTTGGCGGGCGGGGGGGGGATTCACACCCCTGAGCGATATAAGTTCTGCCAACATATGCTGTAGCACAGACATAGCCTAAGTGTTGAAGTTTCTCCCACTGGAATGGTTATGTCCCTATCTTTTCAATAGGTCTGAGTTTGACTTTTAACCTCAATGTCGAGCTAATCTAGCTATTCTGATTATCCCCATTCCTTGAATGGATACCCCCTACATAGCAAATGTCCAGTCAAGCCTACTCTTCTGAGGGCATGGAGAGCCCTTAACCACCAGACCCACTGCAGGAAGGAAGTAGGAGGATTCAGAAGAATTAAGGAAGGCTGGCTTTTTGTGGATAAGGCACTGAACAAGAGCCTAGGTGATGATTTCCAAGCTCTGTCACAGACTGCCTGTGATCTGATAAGATAGGGTTAAGAATTCTTCCTTTGTCTGTCTGGTCTATTTAAACTGTAAGGTCTTTGGAGGAGGGACTGGCTCTTACTAGATATATAAGTGCCTAGTGCCTAGCTCAACGGGACCCTGATCCCTCACCTAGCCTCTGGGTGCTATTGTAATACAAATAGCAATCATACATGAAGTTTGCTCTGCAGGAGAACCCTGCATCCCAGTAGAAAGGGATTGTTTTGGGGAGAGTGAGGACAGGGCCAGTGGATCTGTTACCTGGGGTTCTTTCAATCCAAAGCTCTTGGTAACTTTTACTCTGTGCGAGGTGGTGTCAGGAAATAAATCAGGGGAGACATGGTCGTCTGACCGATAGATGGCTGGCACAGACAGAACAACACAAGAGTGCTTTCACTTAAAGCTAAACTTTACTTAGTCTCAAGCACTTACACATGTCCGCAACAGGTTAGTAAAACACCCCCAACCCTCGATAATTACCGAAGCTGAGCGTGGCTTTCCCGTGGCACAGTGGCAGCCTGTCTGCTGGTGGGGAACACAAGATGCAGCCAGAGGGAGAGTCCCTGAAGAGCCCCTTCTGAGAAGTTCCACTACCTCAAACTTTTCCCCCCACATTAGTAATACAATGACATATCCCTTAAAGAAAACTTGCTTAGCAAGCAATTTTTAAAGGTCAAGCAAGAGATTTCCTTATGATCATCAATTAACCAGATATGGGTTGTTTTTGTTTTTTTTCAGAGTGTCCATGCGTTGGGACCCTGACAGACACATTCCTCAGGGTATGTTATAGACAAGCTTCCTGTTTTCCTAAAATACATATATCCGCAATTTCAACATTCTTAGCAGGAAGGACGTGGGGTCAAGCTGCCTGGTCTGTGGCACCCCAAATCCCCTCCCCACCTGCCTTGGTTATGCTAAGGCCACTGCATGGCCAATTTATGGCCTGCTGACTTGACTACTTTAAGCAATAAGCAATAGTGGTTTCAGGTACTTTACTGGTTTGCCAAAATCTCCCCATACAGAACCACTATTATACTGGTCCTTTTCCTCCTTATGGAAGGGAAATGCACTGGCCCCAGGTAATGGAGCCCCGATGCTGAAGTAGTGTCTGCAGAGCAGGCTGGGGGAAAGATTCCTTCCCCCCCCAAAAATATGTCCCACAGAGAGTCCCCCTACCCATCCTAGCCACTCAAGCTCCCTGTGGACCAAGGATTTGACTCATAATAGTTGAATGGGGTTTGCTATAACATAGACTAATGGACAAGAAAAGTACAGTCTTGGTATTTTGAAGGAAGGTTAATGCCTTTATTTTGTTCTGATGTTGTCTAAACAGGTTACCAGCTGTGTGACACAGACAAACCAGCTCAGATCATGACAATAGGGCAATTCACTTGTGTATGAATACCAAAGAAGGGTTAAGTGTATCAATATGTATTCAGAACAATTCACTTATGCTGATAGAAATCAAGAGGTTGATTGTATTGTTTCCATCTGTCTGTATCCTGTACTTAATTAGTCTTCGATTGAAATGTATGTTAGTGTTTAAATGTGAATTGACTTGATGTGTAAAGCTGCATGAAAACCAATGAAGAATTGTTTCTGGCTATCACATTGTGTTTACATTATGTATATCCATTGGAGACTGGAGCCTTGGAAATGTAAATGAAGAAACAAGTCGACTTCAAAGCGTTGGTCTTTATGTGTTCAACAATGGTAAATCTAGGGACCTGTGCTCTGATGGAAAAGCTTGCCAGACTGTTTTCAACTATAAGAAGGAACGCTGGGAATGATTCTGCAGCTCTGATCTATTTGGATGCTGTCGGGAGGCATTCCAGATACAAGACAGAGGTCCCCCAAGCTATTTTGGGCAACCCTGAATGACTTATGGGAAACTAGTAGATACCACATCACTGCTATCATTTGAACTTACAAACTCTGACTCACCTGTTATGTATTTCACCTGCTTTAACCTCTCAATAACCCCCATTTCTTTTTCTTAGCTAATAAATCTTTAGTTAGTTTACTAAAGGGTTGGCTATTGGTGTTTGTTTTTGGTGTAAGATCCAGAACATCCCTGGACTTGGCCTTTTGGGGCTGGGAGTAACCTAATGTGTGGCGATTTTTGGTTTTAATAACCTTTCATCACAGAAGTCCAGCTTGTCTGAGTGGCAAGGTGGGCTGGACAGCCTAAGGGGACTGTGAGTGGCTCCATGGTAAAACTAATCTGGTACTCCAGCAGTGCACATTTGTTACTGGCTTGGTGGAATCTAATTATAGAATATACCATCAGTTTGGGGTGTCTGTCCTGTTTTCTGACAGTCTGACCTAAGATTGGCACACTGAGTTGTGAGCCACATGTCAGACACCATGACATTTGTAAATTATGCTTTGTTGTCTACACTGAGTGATAGTGGCACTTATGCTGTGGGACGATCTATGTGCTCCTAGACAGCAAAACTGCTACATCACAGTAACAATACCCTGAGTGAGGTAAATTCCTCAGCACTGTCATTAAGGCCTTTGCTGGTTTCTTTTGTCTTACCATTTTCTTCCCCTAAGTAGTTTGTCTCTCACATTCCAGGGTAAGTTTATTTGATTTCACATTCTGAAACAGCATCACAGAGATGTGGCCGCTAACATATGTATATGCAAAGAAGGATGTTCTGAGGTAGAAAAATCCTGGAATTAAACCAATAAGATTCTGTAGAAATTACCGCAAAAACCTATGGAATTTTAAGGAAATTACGGGGTTGAGCCTACAAGATGTTGAGCACTCTGGTCCTGATCCAGCAAATTATGCACTTAAGCACGTGCTCACTTTTAACCATCCAGTAATCCCACTGAAGCCAATAGGTCTGCCCACGCGCTTAAAGTTAAGCACATGCTTAAGTGCTTTGCTGGATCAAAGTCAGAGTGCTGACGCAGGCTCCCGGGGCTCAGGCTGCAGGTTATTAAATTGAGTGTAGTCATTCAGGTTTGCTCCAGCCCGAGCCTGAATGTGTACATTGCAATTGTATAACTCCGCAGCCTGAGCCCCATGAACCCGAGTCAGATGACCCAGGCCAGCCCCTGCGGCACCACGGTCTCCTGCACAGATCAGAGTGTAGGGCTGGGCCTGGGGCCGGAGTTTGTTTTGCTTTCAAGAAAACTGGATGACAAATTTTAAAATCTCTTTCACGCTTCATCAGCTCTGCTGTTTACTTTTTTTGGGGGGGGTGTCTTTTTTTCACTCTTCCGCTTAGGCAGGGAAAATGGGCTGGTCAGTCCCACTTTCTGTTTAGTCAGTTTCACTTTGGGACTTGTCTGCCCAGTGGATTTTTCACACCCTGGAGAGATGTAGGTATGCGGATTGTAAGTTTTCAATGTAGACCTGCCATCATTCTGTGTGTAACCTTGGGCTAGGTACTTCAACTCTCTTTGCCTTAAGTGTCTTTATCTGTAGAATGGGACTAATAGACTCACCATTGTAAAATGCTTTGAGTTCCTTGGATGAAATATGCCAGTGCCTGTAAATTCAGAGTATTATTAGTAAGCCGTTCGTCTTCTTGTAGACACAGCTGTTCCTTAACAAGGAAGGCTGTCTGCTATCATTACCTGAACTGTGAAATGGAAAAACTGTCTAACCAATGGAAACTAATTTGAATTGGACAGACTACCTAGTGGCTTGTATGTAAATCCTCACTCCTCTTCTTGAATAGCACAGATGAAAAAAGAAAAGTGTGGAAAAAAAATGCTTCCTGGCTAGTATCAGCAAACAGTGTGAGAGTTGAGTCTGAATTTAATTCTGAGATCAGTCGCAAAGTGAGATTTTGCAACAGTGTTTAACCCAGAGGTGGCTGCATTTCAGAGATCAAGGAAATGGTCCCTATACAATATATAGGACCTTATCTAAAGCCCATTGCAAACCATGGGCGTCTTTCCTTTGACTTAAATGGGCTGTGGATGAAGCCCAGGATTTGTTTAATTTGACATTTGTGAAGCATATTGGGATCCACAGTTTCTATATAAATGCCACATAGCTGGCCAAAGTCATCCATGGTATGGCATTATTCATTTCAGTGGAATTACACCAGACTGATTTGGGCCATTAATTTCAAATAGTTTTGTTTATGTTAAGTTGGGGGAAGGGATAGCTGAGTGGTTTGAGCATTGGCCTGCTAAACCCAGGGTTGTGAGTTCAATCCTTGAGGGGGCCATTTAGGGATCTGGGGCAAAAATTGGGGATTGGTCCTGCTTTGAGCAGGGGGTTGGACTAGATGACCTCTTGAGGTCCCTTCCAACCCTGATATTCTATGATTCTAAGTGCCATCAAAATGAATTAGAGGTCTAGCACACTCATTTCGTACACCACCATAACTCAGGTCAGTGTGTTGCTCAATGCTGGTGCCCCACCAAATCACGCATTCTGCTCGATTGTTGGACATGTCAGAGCAGGAGGAGTGGTATTTGACTTTGCTCTCCTCAGACGTCAGACAAATACTGTACTGTGGGATTTCTTTGCTGACCAGACAGTTACTACATGGAACAGAGAATCAACCAAAGCAAGTGTGTCTGGCATTCAACAACAGCTCTGATTTAATGGACAAGACAAAAGATTTCTGGCTGATGAGGAGAATGGCATTTGTTTAAATTTTAGGGACTAGGTCTCCTGGGTTCCTTCTAGTGGAATAGATTTTTCCTGTTGACCCCAGTATGAAATGGATTAATTAGATCTGTATGGGGCTATTACAGCTTCATCCCAATTATTGTAATAACTTAATTACACTTACGAATTGAAAAAGTTTCAATAACTGTTAATGTTTAGGTTTATTAGGGTAAAATATTTCACTGTAATCCCATCCCTCTGTAACGGTTTGGAAAAGTGAGTGCTGTGATAACTAATCTATTTTGGTTTGCATGTAACCAAGTGATATTTTATCCCAAAAGATCCCGTTAGGTTTATTTTGTTGGTATTTTGTACCTAAATTTAAAATGTTTGAAAGTTAGGAGAAATAAAACCATCTGAATTTTTCCAAAATTATCCCATCAGACTTCTTAAAAGAATATCAAAGGCACCTTTCCTCAATGAGGATGACAGGTTTAACCTATTAAACCAGATGGAGGGTTTCTAGCTCATCCATTGTTGAGACAGGGTTTGGGGAAAAAATTAAGAAACTCCTCACAAAGTGCTAATCTCATCCTACCTTTTCCAAGATACCCTTTCAGACAAATGCCTGGGCTGACTGACCCCTCCTTTGAAAAAAGGCCTTTCTGTCATGAGATCAGGGATGAAAAACTGGGCTTAGTTTTGGTGAAGTTAGCATAGGAGTTAAACATCAGGTTTATTATGGAAAGCTAGTTGTACCAGTGACACTAGACACCTCCCATCTTGTGATATCAGGAGAGACCCAACTTGTAGACAATTGCCACGCAAATGCATCCAACTAATGTGTATCTGTTAGTGCCTCTTCCCTGTCATGAGTACAAAGGGCATCATAACTGTCTTCCTAAAATGGCTAAAATGTGATCCACTGAAAGATGGAACTGCTGTCTTTAAATAATCAGTCTCCATTGATCTTCATTCTTTTTGGCTTCTAAATAGTAAATAATCTTTAGCGACAACTCCAGTCTAGTGCACAAGCAAGAGTTTCTGGGAGAGATTCTGATGTCAGTTATACTGGTCTCAGAGCAGAAGAATTCCATTGTCTCCAAATTTCCCTTGATGTAACTGAAGATCTGGTCCCTCTGTGTGATGCAGTGGCAAACTTGTGTGCAACATTTGCTCATTTGGAGGGACACTCCCTCTTTTGCAATAAATATTAAGGCTGTTTTTAAAGTCTGAGGAAGGCTTCTGAAGTGTTTGTATCAATGAGACACTTCAAGTCTCAGTCATTATTTTATTTACATCTCCCATCATTTTAGATTCTCAAAGAGAGCTCTGCAAATACATGCTTCTGGTAAGAATGCAAAGTTAGTACTTGTTTCCAGTTGTTATTGTGCCTTCAAGAAACTTCTGGGTACCATAAGCCGGGACAACATGATGTGGAAAAAGCACCCTTACCCTGGCTACTTTTATAATTGTCCCAGGCGATTACTAATTACTGAGTATGGACTACTCTGTTAATGGTTGGTACCATTTCTAACCCTAACCCATCCCATTTTTTGACTTAAACTTAGGTTCTGAACCTTGTGGTTCTTAAAGTTCCCCTAACCCTAAGCTCTGTCTTCTTTTTTGGGCTATAAACCTCTTGGTGGCAAATAGGTCAACAGCGCTAATGTTAGCACCAATGTGTTGGGTTTTTTTTTCTTTGCCAGGAATGTGGAGTTTCCAAATGCAGGTACTAAAATTCCTGCCCTGATTCCTGCCAATGAAGATTTAATTTTTCCAGAAAGGAAACTAATGGTGGAACCACAGGGCGGTGGGCATTGCATCTTTGTTTGAAGAATCAGCCTGGCCAGAGGACAGCAAGGCCTTCGGTTCCTTTGTTCAGCTAAAATAAAGTATTTTAAACATAGCTGTAAACTAATCATGTACCAGAAATTAACTTGGGACACGGAAGAGTGTGTATTCAACTAGTGGGAGGACTAACTGCACTTGTAAAGGGATAGGAGAGAAGAGCCTATCAAGTGTTTGGGTGAGTGAAATTCCTTCTGTTAGGATAGCCAGCCATCCCTCTCCATCCTTGTTGGTTTAATTTTCAATGCTTGAGGCCTGATTCTCCTCTCATTTGCCTCCATTTTACCTCGGTATAATTCCTTTGATTGCAGGGATGTGACTTCTGATTTACACCACTGGCGAGTCGGGTTGTCAGAATAATTCTCAAAACCAGAGCAACACTTTGAGAATAAGGAGATGGGCGTGATGACATAAGAGCAAAGTAAAACCCTTTACAAGGAAGGGGCTTCAGTGAGAGATCTGAAGCAGGGAGCAAGATGGGCCTCAAGCAGACGCCCCCTGGAGCCGTTCCACAGCCCCACTAACATCGTCTTCATGAATCACATGTTTTCCTGGGTCAGAGCTCCCCCTCATTCCAGAGGATCCCA